TTCCACACGCGACATATAATGCTGGGTTGCTGAAAACGAAATTTCTGTCGTATTTGGGTTACGATAGATGGAGGAGCAGGCGAAACAAGGAAAACGGCGAAAGGTGGAGTGCCAGTCGTCGTCGAACCGTAGAGAACTATTCGGTATAGATGGAGTGGGGTGGGGAGAAAGATGGCGAGAATAAGAGGAAAGAAACGGGAAAGTCTATAAAAGGAAATTGAACGGAGGTGGAAATGAATATAAGGGAAAAGAGGTGGAGACTGTGGAAAAAATTGATAGGGGGAATGTAGGAGAACAAGGGGTTCGGTGAGGGAGGTATAAGGCGAAGACAAGTTAGTATGGTCGGTGAGCAGATAGGCAGCAGTGATCTCGGTTGTGACGACAAATACGGTCATAATTACGCGTGTAAGGAAGTGTAACAACGAACCTGTCCCTTTTCTCTCCGGAAAGGTTTGGCCATTTTCGGATAACGCCGCTGTCATTGCTTGCAGGGATAACGTGGGGATTTTTCTGTAGGCACTCCAGCCTCCGGCTGACTTATCACGTCGTCCGATCTCCAGCAGGTTTCTGGCGCCACTAGTCACGCGAATTTCAATGATCGCAGTGCACTGAACGTATGAGTTTGACGCACATCTAGAGTCAGTCACAATCAAATGTATGAAGAACATTTTCGTGTTATCTATTTTCGCATAAGGACAGTTACAACATCAATTACATACTTCAGTTACACGAAGTAGAAGAGAAGGAATTATAAAAATAAATGCTACATGTAAAATCTAATGCCGACCACACCCATGATCATGCAAACCGATGACCAACCATCCTACACGAATAATCTGCACGTACATACATCGACTTGGATCAGCTCGAATATGAACGAAAACCTGCATAGTCAGCGTTAACAATCATCTTAATGTAATACTCGAACGTTTAACAAGTGGCAGAGGAATGACAGAATCCGCAGACACCGACTGTATACTTCGAATCGGCTTTTCCTATATATGGATATAAGTGTGCACAGGCGCGCACGCAGCAATGTGGTGTTGTATCAGGGACAAACAATGACGACGATGATGACGCCGACCTGGACGACGTCTGTTGAAAACGCTTTGGCGTGGTCTAGGGTACACCAGCGGCAGACACCGCGTAATGCTTGGCGTAGTTGGTGAATGGCCCCTTGATCCAGATTTTTGTAGGGTGATTTTTGCACACTCAGGGCCACCTATATATAGCACTGGGCACTCGACATTGCATCGCCAGTTGCCGTCTCGACAACAGCGTACGGCCAGGGGAGAGAAGAGGAGGCCAGTCTCCATGTTATGCCTTACTTCGTGTTCTTCGTCTTTTCTTTAGTCATCTTTTCTCTTTCTTATTGCTCTCTTTCTCGTTTTCTCTCCCCTTCTATTCTACTTTTTCACTCCTCAGCTTTATTTTTTCTACTTGTTGCAACTAATTCTCCGGATTTTGCTTTCTGGTAGAATTAGCCCGTTTTTTCGTACACGCTCCTTTTTTACACTCATCACCTGCTGTGTTTCTTTTTCTAACAAGTGAGTCAACTTATCTTAGTCAATTCAATGCACCGTGGCTGGGTATGATTTGTCCTTGTTTAGTGCGCACGCTATCTATGAACACGCGATATTTCGTTCTCTGCGCGTCGCATGGCGTGCGTCGAACTGTTTGTTTATGGGAAGTGGTTAGAGAGATCATTGACTCGTTTGTAGCTTCTCAGCTAGTGTAACGTGTCGGCAGTGTTCCATTAGTTAAAAACAGTATCGTTGACAATGACTAATGACTAAATTTGGAATCTTTCACCGATCAAAAGTTTCGATCCTAACCTATAATTTGTCACAATTTTTTCATCATAATATCATAATATTATTCTTTGCTTCCCAATAATATAGTAGAATTAAAACGCAGTATATGATCCAGGAAATACACGTGCACATACATCATAAGCACATATAAAATTTTGTAGAGAACAGTGCTATTGGATCTGGTCACTCGTATATCAGACACGAAAATATTCTATCTTGGATCTAGTTTCGAGTTTCACTATTATGGAAATGGTAACAAAATTTTTAAAAATTACCGCACTGTAAATATATGAATTTGAAAAAAACATTTTTGACGATCTCGATTTTTTGTTTTTAGGTTATAGAGGAATCGCGCATACGTTTCAATCGAACTACGTCTTTACACTGTTAAGAGCCGTTTCTTCCACGTCTGTAAAGCGACAGCAACATATTTCTTCGTGCGCCCCTTGCAAAATCGCACCATTTGTCATAACTCTTGATGTAGCATTAACATTCCCGTTCTTGAGCCGCACTGGAACTGTTCGACCCGGACTGTTGCGATCGGCTTGCAATATTTCTGTTCCCTCGCGTCCGTTTCTTATTCTGTCCATAATTAAAGCCGCATCAACCATTTGATGACATATTTTTGCGCATTCTGTTTCTCTTGTAACTCCACGTTTGCGTTGCTGAATTTTTCTAGCGTTACTTGGTTTATTTACATAGAATGAAATTTACTGAATATTTTTGAGTTGTTTAAAAAACGAATATACGTAGCATTACTAGTTGGCCAGGAACTTTTGACCTTCCACGTTGCTCGTCGGCATTTCCCTTCACGCGTACCGAAAGAGATTAATTGTACTTCCAAAGCCTCCGGCAAATAGGATCACCTGCGGCTCTCTTAGTTGTTCCACCTCCTACGTCGATGACTAGGAGAAACTGGGGAGAAATTTTACGTGTCCGACGAAAGTAGAATTAAAACTTAAGCGAAAGATGTAATTTTCTTTTTCTTGTAATTTACAATTTCGATTTCATATAACAAGGAATTTTACTAGCTTTCCACTATATCAGTGTATTATATTGCTATATCGTTTTTATGGAATTATGTGTAACTAGAATTTAATGTTGCACAAATTCTCAAGTATATTTTTATTTACATGGAATAACAGATGTTATAAATATGTGTTTATATATATGTCATTACGTATTTTATGGATCATGTTACTCCAGAAAGCATTATCGTAGCCAGTCGTTCAACTATATCATTCGTTAATGGATAAATTTATTCCGTGTCAGTAAAAAAAACATCGCTTCTAATTCGGCATTGGTACGACACGAAGAAGGCGGTATTGTTATTTTCTCGACAGTAATACATTGCGCATATGACAGCCTTTAAACTTTAAAAACAAGATGGAAAATTTTTAGCAAATTTTTAGAAATGTTTGCAATTCGTTACAGTATTGTATTTTATATATTTCTTTTTATCAGCAAAAATCATACAAAAAGAAATTTACAAAATGTTTATAAAAATAAAGGAAAATATCCGATTTTCATATGGCAATAACGTTGTATAAAATTACATTGGAAATAATGGCGTAGTTAATAATACCTACAAGTGTCGAAAATGCCAATTCTAAATCGTTTCATCGATTCTATAAACGCAATAATGATATTTCATTTTAGTCGTATAGATATTTTAGTTTGAATTGCATAATTGCTTTTCATTCGATTCTTGATTGTCCATTTATATTTCATAATGTTCTTCGACTTCTAAAGAAAATTGCTGAAATCGTAGTTAGAACGTGTAGGTGTGTATTGTGTTTGTTCTCAGACAAGAGAGTATTTTCGAAATGAGTGTAGCTGTGTGAAAACATCGCTGGCTACGTGTGGGCAGCGTCATCACGGTTCTCGTACTACGTTGCCGGGGCGTGCGCCCCGAAGCAGAATTGTGGAGGTGTGTCGCCTACATGCCTGCTCGCCCAGAGGCTTAGGCCTTTTTCATACGGACCCAAACATTGAACCAGATATTTTGCTTGCTATAAAAATAATGAATTACATTAATAGCACGTTTATGCTAATTTAATGAATTAATAAACGTCATCACATGTAAAAGTTAATTATATCACTCGTTAATTAATACAAATTCATATTACCCCAGCGAAATTAAATTCGGCATACTTCCCTAACAAACAAGTGATTCTGATACAAGACGATTGTGCTTTAAATGGAATAAAAATTTACTTTGTTATAATGAAAATTTGCAAATGGCCGATATAAGTTCCTGGTTAAAATTAAATTATATTTTTAATTACCATCGATCACAGTGGCATAATTTGTAATAAAAGATTCAAATTCTGACTCCCCCAGTTTCTTCCAATAATCAGAATGTAGACGCTGCATACAGTCCAAACGAGGCCGAGGAGTACTTGATTTTAAATCCTCTGCATATTAATGCCGATCGAGGACCCGGTGAGATATATATTCGGTCGAGGCGCATGTAGGCGTACACCTACGTGAAACCTGTAGTCGAGAGTGCAGGTACGGTCGCGCAACGACGTCGACGTTTTATAACACAGCAGTGAGACAGGCCAGGATGTGTCGATGTCGAAGAAGAGAAGTCGCGAGGAGTGTGTGTCGCCTACGTGCCTACCCACTTGAAGTGTCAGGAGACCAACCTATGACAAAGTGGCTCGCAGGATCAGACCGGAAGACGTAGATATTGCCCTCATATTCGGCGAGACGATGCTTCACGGCCAGGGTGCGTTGCGTAAAGGCAATGTCGACGACACCTAGTTCGCCACGCTGTTCTCTTTCGTTCATCTCCATCTTTTCTTTTTATCTTCTGTGTTTTTTAGTTGCTGGTGTTTTTTTCCTTCTCCATTTTTGCGTTACGATTCCGTTGTAAGTTACGAAAACGACACGTTTTATTTTCGTTCAACTTCCTCCCATGAGAAATTTCTATCCGGAGGTTATTCTATCATCTTGTTCTTTTTTTGAACCTTCTTCGCTACTGTAGTCACATCACTCGATATAATCCATTATTGATTTAATTCCAATTCTAAATGGTTTCAAATCTGATTTTGCTTCAGAGATAACGAGATCATGTAATTTCGTTCTGAAAAAATAAATAAATATAGATAATCATACAGTCGTCATAGTTATACGTTTGGACATCAAGAATTTGACCAATTTATGTCCACTGGGGTGGTCGTTTGATTTTTAAATGCGAATGTCACGTGTTGCGTGAACTGATCTTATACATAGATCTTCTATGAATATCTGTCGAGCGGCAAAGAAGAGAAAAAAAGCTGGACCTATCTTTAGAAGGTATCCCGAACTTCGCGCGTGTTCGTCGTTATTCATAAATTTTCATGTTAAAGACCCGTGGCATGGTGATTTGCTTGGTTGGTATCATAGGTTTCTCTACATTCCAATTAGCTTTAACGCCAGTTCTCGTTACATCTAAAAGTTATTTTGCCCTTGATTATTTTCTTTCTCGCAATCGACATCGGATAACAATTGACTTTTACCTTGGTATAACGTTTCTGTCCAAACTAAAAATGAAATTATAAATCTGCCTTGAAGTCACGGTGAAGCTCTAGACGACTTTACTCCCTCGAAGCGTAATTCGAATGTATTTATTTTCATCCTGCAACAATGTTATTGTTTAGAATGGCAATGAAACATTAGAAATCGTACAACTGAGACGTGTACGTGCGCGTTCAGATAAAATAACCTCGATACTACTCGGTGCATCGCAATGTCACGTGACGTGAGACCGTATACGATGGTAAAGGTGATGTGAAACTCGAGACGGAGATGAGCAAGAGCGCTACTGTACCTAGAATAAGAAAGAAAGAGAGTTTGAGTGAATGTATAAGAAGAGGGAAGAGGGAAGATATGGCAAATCGTGAAATAGGGGGGACAGGAAGTAAGTGTAACGTGCGAGATTCATGGAAAAGAAGCGGGACGGAGAAAAGTGGAAAAAGCGAGGAAAGAAAGTGGCATGTGTTTGTCGTTCACTCACCCGGCTATCGTGTCATTTCTTTTCCTTTTTTATCCGTCGTCGGTAGAGAACGTTATTTATTTTAGCGAGCGAAGACGTACTCATGGCACTGCCATGGAACTATCTAGGGAGCGATGTAGTAGGGAACGACATACTGCTTCGAATGCAAGTGCGATTTAAATATCCTGCCCCCAGCGGAGGGTTCTGCAACTAAGTAAAGACAGTCGAATTCGAGCAAGAAATATGGATTCGCACCGATAGTTACCACGTGATGATTTTTACTGGATTCGCCGGTGTTACGTCTCTCGAACAACAGAGAATATATCGTGAATTTATGTAACCTAGTCTCAGACGAAATTAATATCGCGGTCGAGGCGTGTCGCACCTCGCCTGAACGGTTTATCGTTCTCGAAACTGGATGTGTCCCTGGTCGCATTTCGAATTTCGCGCTCAAGCAAAAAATAAAAAAAAAAATGAGGGAAGCATATATGTATTCGTTGCCACGTTTTCCGCAACTTTCTTCACACCAACGTGTACCATATTCTCGTCCAGTTTATCGAATAACAACGGGAATAAAATCAGGATAAACGTTTTACCGTTAAAAATTTTGGAATAGTCTTTTGACGTCTTGTATAAAATAGCCATCGGCTGCATTTCAACAACATTTTATGGTAAAAACGGTTTATAGCGGCAAAAGTGAGGCACGTTAACGTATCCAATCCTCGCAACATCGGACGGGCGAGTCAACGGTCGACGGCTTGGATATTTTAGGATTAACAGTAGTCTATCCTGTCGTATTTTTCCTAAACGAACCCCGGTGAGGATTCATCGCGGTTCATCGAACTCCCAGCTTAGAAGCGCCACGCGTTCAGCGTTATCCTAGACCGACTACGTGGCTCAGAATAGTGGCAGAAACTGTGTTCCTAGAATTCTTGATGAGATTCGCGGAAAGCTAAACGTAGAAGGAATGAATGGTCCACAGATGATGCTCCATCTTTAAATACCAAATTATCCTGTAACCAAAATTGCTCGTGTGACGCATTAAAGTTTACCGTACCCCATTACCGATTTTCTTTCATATATTATCAAAAAGTAATAAATAATATTGACCTTGTACTAGTAATTTTTTCTTCTTCCTAGATACAATCAAATTTTAACTAACAGCGTAAATTATGACGCATCGTTTTCTGTGATCTCCGTTTTAACTCTAAATCAATATTTATATGACCAAGCGATAACAACCGTTCATGCTCCTTCATCAGAGTGGAGAAATGAATTTACAGAAGCGTATTTCAAAGATGACGTCGTAACTGGTGTCACCAGCGACCGTTTCTCCTGTTTTTGCCATACTCGAAATGAACAACACTTGAACGTTTGAGGACGCCTGTTTTCATTACGTGTCTCCGAACACTGTATTACGTCGTCGCTTTCAGGATGGCCCTGGTTGTCGTCGTAGTAGTACCGCGTTCGAATGGCCTCTTGGTTTTTACGACTGCACTCGTCAACTTTCATCGTGTTCCGTACAATTTTTCTGCCAACCGAGGGGAAGAGGAACGCGTTACGCGAGAGGCCTTCTCCATTTATGCAAATCGCGGTCAATTTACGGACGCAGCCACGACGCTTTTCCATTCGGCTTAATTTATGCTAATCCATTTATGCAAATATCTCGGTAATTCGCGTGAACGCCCTCTATGCTGCTGTTCTCCACTAGCATCTTTAATTTTGTTAAAGCGTGAACAGCACAAAAGAGCCATTATGCATGTACAAAGGAAAATAGTGAACACCGCCATAGGGCAGGCTATTGAATTTCTGATTGGTTTACCGAGAGGGCGCGTTTCGCGTTTCGCGAACTCGACAAGGAAGCTGCGCTAAGCATGAACCATGGCGATTGACCTGTTCGAGATAAAGCCCACAAGATTTAACAGTTGATAAGTTATAGCAGCGGAGTTAACGGTCTATGAAACGTTGGTATATGGGCCAAATTAGCACCGGTAGCTCTATACTCCGTGTCGTCCACTTCGCCACAGCGTCCTATTCTCATCCTTCCAATAATAGATTAAACGTTTAGCGAGATTCGACGCCTATGCTCTCGCCCTATCGCCAGTTACATTCCGTCCCCTGAGTTTAGGCTTACGTGGTAAGTTGTAAGTGCAACGGTATCTATTTACCATTGGATCCTATTTTCATTATGTGGCAGATAACAAGAATTTCTGTAAGAGAGATAAGATTATTAATAGAAGAATAAAGCGGTCGCTGTTGAAAAGTGAAATTTTAACGTTTTCCTTTGAACCGATTCCTTATTGATAAGCTTCGCATTATGTATCGCACACGAATTCTGGAGAAACGGGAGTTTAGAAGGGCGAGAGCCGAGAAAGAGAAGAGGTCCATTAGGAGAATGTCAGATCGGAGCGATAAAGAGCATCGACCGTGCACGCGCGGTGCGCCAACGGTTCTCCCTGAAGCTTTTCTCCGATTTCGATGCTTCAGTGTCGGGATTAATTCGTTCTTTGGCTTTGTCCTCGATACTCGAGTGATTTATTCGATTCGTTGGCGTACTTCGTGTTAAACAGAAGAAGGAAACTGAGCCGGATGAGATGGATAGAATTCATCGAGTTTGTTGGCACCACTGCTTCCCATCGTTTGTTATATTCACGCCCCATCAGTATATAAATCTATTCACAATTTTGATCTATATTTTCTATTCAACTATCGTGGGTCACAATTTTCCATAAGTGTGTCAGACTAGGTGCAAAAATTGTTTAACACTCCGCTGTATAATGCTCAATCAAGACACTGATGCGAACACAGAGAACGAGAGAGTTATTGGGCGGATTTAGATGAATGGCATTGATGATATATGAACACATACGAATAAAGAGTGAGACGATGCGACAACGTAGCATTCGACTCGCATATTTGCGATGTGGTGGCGTATCGAGGTTCTCTTCTCTCGGGCTTTCCTGGTTGCTTAGGACCGACTCTGTGCTTAGAACGACTTAGTACACACGGTGCAACGACCTCGTGCAACGAGCCTTACTGTGTATCTTTCTTCCTCTCTTTCTCTCTCGAACGCGTACACATCTAAAGCAAACGGAACCCCCGGACGAGTCCAAAGAAACCGATCTCCGCTCGTTCTCTCGTTTTCTCGTTCTCGCAACTTGGAGTATCGCGACATTTGCATCTTATTGGAGTTTTGGATAGATTCAAACGTGATTTACACCAGGCTCGGCTAATAGGTTTGTTGGTAATGTTGCAGGAATTTCTAATATTGATCAGCGTACAATCTGTTGCATTTTATTCTTGGCTTTGGGCACATTCTTGTGTCTTGATCAATATGGTACGGTTTTACATTGAATACCTGGGATTGTTTGCATTGCAGCTTGGTTAACGTTGATTTTGAATCAACTATGCTATACTGATCTTTGCTTTCCCATGATAGTAAACGTTATAATCCACTTTTCTTGTGTTATTCTTCTTCAATAGTCGATGGTCGTTTTTATTAAAACCACTTAGTGACCTACGCATTTTTATGAGAAAAGGAAGAGAAAGAAATTATTAGAACTTCTGTAGTAACACCTTTCGTGTAATAAATTATTAAAATTTTTTTACCTATAGTCACTTCTCACTTTTAGTAGCAAATCACTTGCAATGATTTACAATTATCCATTGATAAAATACCAACAAAATATCGGAAACTATTTTGCTTCGTCACGTGACAGGTAGCACGCGAAGCCGTATTACACTACCTGTATAAAGCGATTGATGTTCCAGTCCCGAGAAACTTCTTCATATTGAGGTGTGACACGCACAAATCCCTTGGTTACAGGGCGCGTAATACCTCGGTGGAGGGGATGAAAGTGACTTCTTAGACGCGCCGATAAGTCGCATAATCCGACAGAAAGTGTCTGTTATTTTCGGTACTAGCATGGTCGAGCATTTATTTTTACACGGAAAAATAAAAAGACACCGTAACGTTTAACAGTCATACCCAGACCTAGCTGGCTCTTTCCTCCTCCTTATCCTTTTCCTTTTTCTTTTTTTCGTATTGCGGAACAAGGTGAATCGACGACACTGTTAAATGAGGCAACGGCCTTGCGAGAATGGTTCACGATCTTTTTTCCTTCTTCCAAGATCGCCTTCTGCCACTTTCCCTTCTCCCTTTCTCTCTGAGGCCGTCGCTTTCTTCTTTTACACACCGTCTCATCGTCGTCTCGGCGATTTTTAAGCAGCGACCAAGAACGTTTGCTCCTCCTTCAACCACGATGATGATTCATAGGCTGGCGATTAGCGTATCCCAGCCTGGGAGAGTCATTCATTCTGCGATTTCACTTTTATCCTATTCTGGAACATGAAAGGATTATGTGGTCGTATTACGTTAAAGTTAAATGGAAGATAATTTTTCTTTTTGCAAAAATTCGTAGGTTAAGTACCAAATTTGATAGGTTAAGGTCATTTTCTGTAAGGAGTCGTTATTGTGTACTTGGTATCTCATCGGTTCATGCCACTGTTCGAGAAAATGATTCCTCGATTACGTTAAATAGTGCACAATATACACTTACTGACAAAAGTTAAAAAACGACGTCATCATTTGAGAATTTCGGTATATTCTTTATCTTCTAGGATATATAGATTGAAACTAAAAATAGCATAATAAAATAACATTCCATACATCAGTAAACAATGAGTATTTTTTCAACATACTTGTATGTAGAATATATAGAATATTCCCAAATTACCAAACGATTACGTTGTTTCTTAACTTTTGTCAGTAAGTGTATATTCCTAAACCTTTCTCCACTGGAACGCCTTCTTCCCTCTCCTAACCTCAATCTCCACTTTCTGTTCGCTTTCAAATATTTCAGCCTAGCCATTTTTCAAGCCGTTAAATTCATGCGTATACCAGTTGCTATTACACTGAAATAAAAAAAAAGTGAAATTCATGATACCAATTAAATACTTCTTTGTTACAGAATGTACGTTCGGCAAGCAGATACGGGAACTGGGCACCACTTGGTTCGCGGATTTGGGCCCGCCCTTCGGAGTCATGTACTGCATCAAATGCGAATGCATTCCGGTACGTATTAAAGTGGGTGTGCCCACACGCATTCGTGCGTGTCTGTGTGCACGTATCGAGTCCCCCCTGTTCGTTGAGTCCGACCTTTAACCCCCTCGCGGCGAGGCTCGCCTCAAGCCGCACGTACAACATTACGTTTCTATGTAACTGGTCGACCTGACGCGACTTTTACGGAATTCACGTCGACTATTCGTGTAGGTACACGAGTGCCGGAACACCCTGTTCTCTGCTACTATAGCTCGTTTCAAAGTTCCTCTAGTATATATTCAGAAAAATTCCGTTATTCCGACTACCCCATTTTGATAGCAATTAATATTCTGTTATACAAGAAATCGGTAACTGGTGCCCGCAGACTGATGCATCGATGTTATCGACGGTCTGGTTTACGATATATAACCTCAATTCCAGCTCAATTGAATTGTTATCGTACGTAACTCGTAAGTCGTAATTTAATCAAAGACTTTAAATCGCAAGTGATTTTTTCCAATTTAATTTTCTATAACATCGTGCGATTTTGAAGTTACATACACATTTAACCTTTATAAATTTTATTTTGTTTACTTATCGATCTATTGTTTCGTTTCATTTCTATATTATTGCACTAGCATCGAATAATTTATCTATAGTAATTATTGTTCTCATATAGTTCTGTTTTTTGTAAACGAAGAAAATTCTGGTTATAGAAAGATCAAATATGTTAAATGTATACGATTTACTTGGAAAGATCATAAAGCCTGTAGTGTGTATAAGTTTCCAACTATCACTGTGTAGGACTACCTGATCCATATCGACGCTTTCTTGGATCGCTTTTTCCGAGAAGGTCATAGAAATGGCATTGCCCTTTGGAGAGTGCTGTAGATCGACGTAATACGCGAGGCACGGACTAAATCTCGATCTGGGTGACGTGACCCACGGAGACTTGACGTGCTTTCTAATCCCATTCCTGATCCGAGACAGACTGGCGTCCGCTTCTCAGTTCGTCTACTACTACGGAACGTGCGAGGCGCATATATTGCTCACGTATCGTTTTACGGGTATATTGTGACACGTCATACCGTGTCCTTTAAACTCTGTCATGGAATTCCTAATGTTCCTGTAACATTTGATTATCAAAATTTAGTATGATCAACGTAATCGATAAGATTAAACAACTCTACATATTGTCATCTATTAATTTGAAGACATAAAAGAATTTAGATTTTTATATTAATATTTTTAACATTCATGGAGCCAGTTTCTCATCTTATGTATTTGCAAAAAAACGAAACGAATCTCAATCAGAGATCGAACTTATCATGGAGTATAGCTGAAAGAAGATGAATCGTTTGGGCGTGATTGAACATCTGTGTCTGAAGCTCCATACAAATCAGTATTGTCATGTTCCTTTTTGTCGATGCAAACGTGTCGAATGATGGGTTGGTAGTCTTGTATTTCCGATGCAATCGTTGATGGGCCGCACCTACATTTGGTTATACATTTTGTCACGTGTATACATGACCTCCAGTATTAACGGAGTTGCATCAGTATGACGCAAAGAATGCCGAATTAAATTGGTTCCGATTGTGTGTTCCAAGAATATATTTCTTAGTCTCGCTTAGTCACTGTTGCTTTGGTTTCTATGATCGTTTTCTGCAACATAAAAAATTAAATTTATCTAATTATATTTATGTAAAATACGGTACTTTTTATGGATTCATTACATGCAACTATAAAATAGCTAATGAATATAATTGGAAAGAAGTATCGAAAAAAATCGATATACAATTCTTGCATGATCATGATCGATGTTATTAACAGAAGAATCTATATCAATTTGTTTTGCATTTTCATTAGATAAACTCGCTTAAATTCTTATCGCGCAATAATCGTCATTTGCATTTCCCACATACGTGTCACAGGGTAATACTGCTTTGTTTGGCATTCTATATGCAATCAAACGATAACGTCACCGAGTACCGGCACGTCCCTTGCGCGCGTGTCATCGATGTTCTTACCTTTTCGCATGGACCGACAGTTTTCAATGTTGCAATCCATATCCATTGCCTGACTTATTGCATTTACATGAAAATCTAAATCATTTTTTCTAGCCTTGGCTGTTCTCATTTATGGCGTTTTATCATACGCAGTAGATGCACAACTACGTTTTCTAATAGGATATCGACGATGATAGAACGTTTTTATATGATTTAATTAATTGAAAATCGTAAAACATTGTTCATTTCATTCGCTGATTGAACGACGATGTATCTGTCGGTATTTATTGGACACCCTGTATATACCATCGGTCGTTACGATCGAACATAACGCGTTCGATCTACGAACGATGCCTGGTTGCTAAATCGGGTGTTTTTCTTATCGCCTTTTCTTGCAGACATGTAATAATAGGCTCTGCGCTAATGAGCGTGATTTTGAGTAGATAAAAGACCAGCCCCTGTCGATTAGCTTCGTTTAGTGGTTCTCTTCCGGACTTTCTCGATGAAAGGCGGAGACCTTAATGTTTTTTACTTCGTTTAACTGCGTAGCATACAATTGCCTTCTTTAAAATTGCTTCTAATCAACGATCTGTGATTTTTGTTTCTTTCTCTGTATCTCTCTTTAAAAATGAATAGAATTTTCTTGAGAAAAGTAGGCTTTCGATGGTTGAACGAGTAGGAATAATCGTTGTTAATACTGAAACATTAATTTGTATAGAAACATTTTAAAAGTACAATATTACATTAAGGAACGATAAAGATAGATTTTTATCAAGGGGAACATCTTTTATCCTGCGCAGGAACAAAAGCGTCGTTAAACGATGATCCAGTCGAGATTTTGTTCACACCCACTTATGCTCGATCCACTGAAGCAGAAAAGAGACAACGATGTAAAGGGGATTCGAGGGGGACTTTGATGCCCACGACTTGTCGGCCGCCTTGTATCGTCAGACTATTAAAGATACTCATCTCATTATACAAGATCCACCGACGTCTCCCACGCGATGATATGTTCGTTCATTCTTCTTTGCCATTCACTTTTCCTCTTCTTCCATTTATCCTTATTTGCATAATCCGATCTGTAAAATGAGCGTGAAAATTCCTGTTACTTTCAGTGATACATGTGCATACATAGAATGATTAATTTTATTTCCTAGTTATTGCAAATGAATTTTAATAAATACCTCTTCACCAGCATTTCTTAGTACCTCTTTCTAGTCATTTCTGCCAGGAAAATGAACGGTACAAAGATATATGCAGCTGCAAACATTTCATTAATTAAAATGGACAGTTAAATTGTATATGATTCGATTGTCGATAATGGTATCGCAGATGTCTGTATAAAACTGATCATTAAAATTATGGTCTATTAGGAAAGCGGTTAATTACCATTCAGCTGATTCTCGAACGCTCTATTCAATTATCTATTGATATTACATACCTTGTTGGTAACATACACATAAATGTGCAATATTTAGTTGAAATCGTACTTTCAATTACGACAGTTATTGAAAGAAAATGATGGGACACAATTATTTTGGCACTCCATGCTTGTCTGTCACTATGGCTTTGAATCGTGTTTATAATGTAAACAACATTAGCAGATTTTCACCCGAAAACGAGAAATTCGATCTTTCCCCGAGTGCTCGTGGCTTAGGTTGTTTACACTGTACTGATTCAAATACGTGGTTTACATCCAATGTTTGCTCTGTCACTTTACACGACCCTGTTTATGTACAAACATCATGGGTCATGTTATATCGAAGAGAGCGTTTTTCCTGTTGGATGCAGCGCGCAAGCCCGGGCGCGAGGCGCGACATCTGTTGAATTACGCATCCAATTAATGAAAATAAAAGTAGAAGTAGATGCATTAGCATACATTATACGATTAATAAGTTGTTAGATGAAAAATATACGACAAGTTTAATACGTCGTTTTCATTTACGTTTAAGAATGAATTATGACAAATGGTTAATCAGCTGTACTGAATAAATTTAAAATAAAATTATGTTCGTGTTTTGAACCCTTGTATTATGACGTGTCTATCTCGACATGAGCTTTTCATGCCAAACCGGCTCAAAATCAGCTATACTTATTATACAAGTAAAATTTATATAAATTCTAACAATTTTCATAATTTTAGTGCAAACCAGGCGTATGTATAGTGAATAACTGGAATTAAATGTTTTTACCTTGTGTACCTTGTGTCATTTATCGACAGGATATTGGCAAGGAGAAAGATAAATAATTTCCATGGGGTCCAAAAGTTAAGCCGGCTGAGTCACATTGAGGTTAATAACATTGGGTTAATAATTTGACCTTCATACAGTTGATTGTGGGTTAAAAATATGGAAATAAATTTGGGGTCAATCATAAAGCGATTCGAAGCCCTCGCCCTGTGCGGTTCAATTAATGCTCTCTATCATAGTAACGGGTTCTGTCGCGCATGCATTTATCGTCTGGACAGAACGGTCACGACTGTCCTAATGGAGTTTAATTTAGCCAATCTTCATAAACTCTGTCCTTGACTGGTAACCATTCTTACGTATTTCCCTATACTACTGTCTTAAACATATCATTGTTTTTGTCAGTCCAACAATATATCATGAAGCAATCAAAATTATAAAATTTGGAAGAAATAATACATGGTGTCAAGCTGATAAATAATATTAAGGCATTCAGACACTTTGGTACGTGCTTCTTCATCATTTTCAATACCATAAAGAGTCTTATATATATATGCATGTATGTATGTATGGGTGTATGTATATCTGTTCACACGTTACAGGTTGAAATATCAACGGCAAAAAGAAGGAATGAATTTTACAAAGGAAGTATGAGTATTAACATAGGAAGAAAAGAGCAAGAAAATGGGACTGGACGATAGGTCGACTGAAAGGGAAAATAGAGTGCGACTGAAACAGAAAGAGAAAAAGAGAGAGAGAGAGAGAGAGAGAGAGAGAGAGAGAGAGAGAGAACACGCTGGTAGAGAACTGCTCGGACCCAGCGGCTTATGGACGGACGCGCGAACTCTATTTTTAGCTTCGGTGGAATGACAGTCCCTCTTCAGTGTATATGAGGAGCTATTGATAGGTCGCGAGCTTCGTGTGAGCAGTCAGGCAGACACGTCGCGTGAATCACACGAGACGTCGTTTCTTTACCTAAAGTTATACATCGGGCTACTATCTACCGTTATACATTTTACTTTTCAACGGTTACGTTTGGATATACTCAACACACTCGTTTGTTTAATTTACTTTTAATACTTAATTCTACTTTTTACTTATTTTTATTTATTATTGTCCGTTATATTCTGTTCCTTTTCGATGTATTATTATAGGTATCAAAACGTGTCGACTAATTATTAATATTATTTACGCGAAGAATGCAATAAAAAAGGAATATATATACTGTTCTAAACGCTCTGTAACTACTCTTATTGACTGAAAACGGAACATTGGAATACTACGAACGGTTACGGCATAGATATAAAAATAAGTAGACAAGAAAAGGGAATATCCATGTCTAAATGAGTTCCGTTCACAGCCTCTATATCTAGTAGGTATATAACCTAATCTTTGCATTTCTACCTATGTATATAGTTACAGAGATGTGTAGTCAGTTTCTCTACAAATAATTTCAACATACATACGAAAGAATAATTCGTTATACAAGAATAGTTGCTCGTTTATACAGTAATTAATGTATTTTTATATATATATATATTGCGTTCAGCTCGAATTATATTTTTATATCTTCAAACAGGACATTTTCAGGCTTCTCAAAGTAACGCAGTAAATTATGATACACAACTGTCACCCTAAAATTAGTTAATTTTATTAATAAGTCATATCCAAGTAAAGACATGGTAGGTCAAAAAACTTGAAATTTTTCAAAGATGTGTCTAATAGTAAATTAGAAATTACAAGAGATTGGTAAATTTTATTACAAAATGGTATTAATTAAAAAATTTTCTTTTTTAGTAAGAGTATCTGGGAAAGGAACCATATAATAATTTTCACGCGCAAATCAACACTGATCTCCGATCTACGCGGTGCAAAATATTTGTCTCGCTTCTATAATTATTTTTTACATAGCGTGAGAATAATGAATGGCTGTCGTAGTCAGAAAATATCGTAGGTGGATGATTCACGCTAACCACATTTCTTGAATAGCGAGACGCTTTTTAATGGAGACGATCGCCCAGTTCGATCTTCCTGTGCCTCGCAAAAACGTTCCCATTACATCGTGCACGAGCACTTAACACACTCGTCAGTCGTTTGGTTGCGATATTAACGCAGCCGTGTGATATTTTTGGCCACAGCGTCACACGGCTATATTTACATAGTGTTTGCAACTTCAAAGAATATTCAAAACTTCCTTAAAGAGAAAAAAGGCAGAAATAGATACAGAAATAGCAATAAAGTTCTGTAAGGACTACAAATTTTCGCATAGCCTTACTCATCTGTATCCCACGTTATCTACAGTGCAATTAGATACCTCGGGGTGTTCCCGATGAAAAAATTCACGCTTCATTCTTCATAATGGGCCTTATCGTTGTCGTTTCTCGAGTTTCTAGATCACATGAAAAGTTTTTGGTACATTATATCTCACAGTGTCGCGAAAAGTTATCAGAAGCGTCGACCGGTACTTAAATGTATCTTCGAATGATAAAAAATACACCTACTCGCTTAGCAGGTTCCAGTTAACTGTCCCGCGATCTTACGGGGACCAGTGAAACTCGGAATTTACTCCTGGCGCCCCGATTCCCATGTAATGCGAAGTTTAATGTCTGCGTTGCCTGATTACCAGTCTTCGCCGTTCCGTTACCTTCCTTTTTTCCACTTTGTCACTGGAGTCAACGTCGAATGTATCGTTTTGCGTTTCAGGAATTCCGTGTAGCTCTATAAAACCCTAAACTTAATTTTTCCTCTCGATCCGCTGTAACTGGAACCCTTCCCGGTCCGTGATCTCTTATCCTTTGCTTTAGTCGGCATGTCGTTGAAAAAGAATCTCTTGAGATTGGATTTTCACACCCAGAGATAACTAGGCGCCGCAAATTTGCTTTAAAGTCGGATATTTATCGACCGGCCAACGCATGCCTGTTGTATTGCAGGAAAGTCGCTGTTGTCCAGATCGAACGATTCTAGTTAGTCTATGTTATTTACGCGTGTACATATTACTTTAAATTTTATGTAAAATTTTACCGTGTGTAGTTAAGATAATCAGGAGATATACAATTGTAATTTATAATTATGTTCACACTTACGGTTTTTACTTATCATCAGACAATTCTTGATACCATTACGAAATTTCAGTAAACGTTATTATCTTCGTAAAAGTGGCCAACCAAAGAACATAGATGAATGTTCGAGGTTTATGGATTGAATCGGACATGTGCCATTGGGTATGAATACGTCGTAAAGAACGACATAGTGAACCGCGAGTAAGACATCTGAAAAGGGAAATACATTGGTCAGAAATGACAGATCTATAGTAGAAAGTGGCTCGGATTACAATACCACGGAATATGAATTTATAAGGCGTACCGTATTGTGGAATACATTGGTACCAACGCTGCCATTGACATGGTTTGGAATAAGCCGCGGTAGGTGGACAACCTTTTTTCGCGTAAACTCTTGGAAAGTCGTGACCGACAGAGACGTTAAATGATAATTTATATTAAGGGAAGTGTTGTAAATCGTATCGCAAATAATGGCACCATTGACCGTGATAAACGAGTCCTTTGTGATCAATAACACCTACCAATTACTTGCTAATAGATTTATGTACGCAGTCCATGTAAACGTTACAACTATCGTTAGCGATGCGTAAAGGAGTAATAAACATGTAAGCACGTTTACAGGCTCGAAAACATTACAATCACACTTTCAAACGTCACCGCGAACGTGTCCAGTAGTATGAACAGCCTGATGGAGAAACTCTTAGGAATTCGCATAATTTGGAAGAGGAAAATAACGTATTAGCATTCGTTAGTATTTGAATAATAATTAACTTCAACGTTGTTCTCTGTAATTTTTAAGTTTCTACTTTGTAATGGACATTATTCAGATTTTTTTATACTTAAATTGAAAACTACTTATTACTGATTGATCACGTTTCACATACTTTAACGTATACACTGCATTCTGCTTTCAGGTGCAGAAGAAACGGCGAATCGTTGCGAGGGTCCACTGCCGTAACATCAAGAACGAATGTCCAGAACTCACATGCAAGGAGCCAGTTCTTCTTCCAGGTCGATGCTGCAAATCTTGTCCAGGAGATTTCAGTAAGTAACACTATGGTTTCCCGTACAGACACTTAATACCAGACTTGTACACTATCAAGCTTGAGAAAAGTCACCAGACTTGTGCTGACCCCTATGCAGGAACGCGTCATTGGACACTGTTTACACCTGTGGATGCATATAGTGGCATGTTGTTACTTAATGCGAGGTATCTGCGAGATAAGGAAATTGCTGTAATATGATCCCAAGACTCGTGTATCGATCCACGATTTTAAAGAAACACGTGTGCTTTTATTCGATAATCTCAGATTATGTTCACGTCGTTCTCAATGTTACAGTTCAATGAAAATACTTTGCCAGTAGACTAGTTTGATTTATCAGGATACTTATCTGCAACACTAGAGTAAAATGAACGCTGCTGACACTTCTTCGTTTCGCCGTCCATCATAAATGTGTCAAAGGAAAAGAAAGGCAATGAGGAGAAAAGTTCACTACCAGCAACACTGGAATAGGTTCATAAATATCACGAAAGGATAGAGACAAGACATATTGAGGGACTAGAGGCATTAATGAGAATCAAGTGGTTTGCATAAATCATTTATCAATGATCACCGCCTCTTTTGTCTGTATCTTTGTCTTTATCAGCTCTTAGAAGGCCCTCTTTCTCTTTTCCACACTTCCTCGGTTGCTTCTTCCAGCGTTTCTCTATCGGTCCGATCAACCTGATAATCGTATTTGCAATGCCATGTAATCATGATCGACCGTTATCGCCCAGTACCTTTACTTTTATTATCACCTCGATGCTCGAGTGTTCTTATTAAGGGATTAGCAGATTAACGTGCATGCGCAGCTTTTCTCAAAAGTAAAATAAGAGACATAGATCCGTTATTTCTTTTTTTACCGTAAGTAGAGTTCCTTTTCTTCGTACTGTTATCTCCGATTTTATTGTCTTTGTTCTTGAAAATAGCCCCTAGCTCTTCCTCCGGTTTGTATAGTGTCGCAAAGCAAACAGTGAGCATATAAATCATACACCAATTTTCTGATTTCTATTCTTGAACACGATATTCGAGATTGTATCGATGAAGAAATTTTTTAGCTACTCCTTATTGTCCCTTGGTAGTACTCTCTTTGCTTCATAAACGGCAGACATCCGAAATTAGGATAAGAAATTTAGTTGTCCTATGTTTGTTTTCTCGTGCTGTAAAATGTCTCGTTGATACGCAGCTTTCACTTGAACAGTGCTAAATTCTTTGTATGCTTACGTGGTTCATTTCTTCCATGAACGAATTCCTATATCGACGTTAATTACCATAGAATGCGGATGGAATAAATGAAATCGTCAAAATACTTGTGCTCATTCCATTTGCTTTTAAATGGAAATGTAGTAGATGGTGGGAAATAAAGTTCGTGACTTTAGCATTCTCTGAGGAACTAAGATTTGAATTCTGGCCGGGTAAGCTAATCAATTATAGTAAACCTAATGTTGCTCAAGTTTTCTGACTTCTTTTTTCACGTATTCTTTTAGATGTTGATAAACATCTGTATCTGTAAGAAATATATAAATGTCATATTTACGATACAAAATTATTATTTATATGTATTGTAAAAAACACAGCTTTGAACATAACCTAACACGCACGTTCTCGGAATAATGTATCTTCTTCGAAAATCGTTGTTAATTGCATTGATATTATGACAATGTTCTTCCGGTGTCCTAGCGATATTCTCTTCCATATATTCCTTATTATCATTGCTGAGAAATGAAGATTAAGGTTTTGCAACGAAAAGCACGATTAAGTGCGGGAAAGAACGAACGGACCTTTGATGACGAACAGACGAGAAGATAACGCCAGGCCACACGCGCATGTTGACCATAACCACTTTTACAATATGGACGGCGCAATTTATTGGTTACTTAGAATCAATTAGCGGGCTCGCATTTATTAGCCGCGGACAAGTCTTCTGTCATTGTCCGTGCGCTTTCTATTCCCATTCCGAGCAGTCGAAGATTTCTTTATCACGGTCTTAGAAGCTACTCGACAGCGCTACTTTCCTCATATCCCGTATTTTTTCTCATATCATTCGCAATCTCGTGAATGAGAAATGCCAGCGGGACGGTGTTTCTCGTGGCGCTAGTTTTTCCAATGTCACTGCGACGCTATTCCTTGCTGTTGGCAACAAGAAAAGTAGAGATTGGCGTAAAACTTTTAATTAAAATCAACATTGGATCGATGTGGCGATATCGATTGTTTATTATACCTGGGGAGTTTAGTATGCTCGAACTTGTTCTCGTGATTCAGAACGCTCTATCGCTAATACAGGAAACGTGCTGTTACGTGACAGATTCTCCACGGATCTTGTTTTCTCGGGCTGATTATGGCGTCCGTGACATCTATAATTGCATATGTCAATTAGTAAAAACACGAACTTGGGGCGTATGTTGGGTACGTGTATCCACCACGAGGAAAGATGGCGGGTTGATTTCTCAACAGCGCGAACAGCGCCACCCCGTGGCCGGTCCACGGGATACGGCGGCGTGGCGAGATAAGCGAAATAACAACCCGTAAGAGAAACCGAATTGTGCATAATGGCGGTGGGGGAAGGCTGGTGAAGGAAGAAAAAGCAGCACGGGAAAAAAGGTTGATGATAAAGAAACGGCAGAGTCAGGGTAAAAAAAGGAAAAAAGAAGAAATGAGCATGATGAGGAGAGGAAGAGGAGTAGAAGATTGTTGGCTGAGTAGGCAGAAAGAGAGAAGAGATTGGTCGGGCGCCACGGTTTAGCGCCATGGCGCCGGCTATATTACCGCATGGCGTCACTTCGATTAAGCCGTGCAATCTAAATGTAAATATTAGCATACGTAATGATCGGGCATAACGTGCGCGGGAATGAGAATAGACGAGGAGATGTGGCTTGGTAGGAGGGTTGGAAGGTCGCGAGAGAAACAACGTAGGCGGAGGGGGAGATCATTGCGAACCATTCCTCCTCCAATAAGGCTGACCAATCCTCTCTTTGCTACTGTGCCCCTTCGTGTTCACCTCTTATCGTCTTTTCTCGTATTTCTCTTTATCCTCCAGCATTGATACTTGATAGCCGTTAATTTTGTATCCGCCTTGTCTCCGTCCACTCGTTCCTTTTCCTCCAATGTCAACCACCATTTTCGTCGGTTGCTATCTCGCGTACCTTAAATTGCTTCATAGGGTGCTAATATTTTTGCAAAATACCTACGGTTATGTTTTTTATCTTGAAATTATTGATTGGTATTTTAAAGAACAGGAATAGATACGTATTCGAAAACGATTAAAGTATGGGCATGATTGCACCAGATTCCAGGCAGGTCAGCCTTCACGTGTAAAAATCCTTAGAATGTTTACGTCTACCCGTTACTTATTCGCGAGGAAAATCGTACATGCGACTTTGAGTTAACACCTTTCTCGTTACGTGCGTGGTTACTCCAGCCATAAAAGATTTGTTTTACAACGAAACGTTTGCTTGCATTCCCTGGTGACACATCAAGAATCCCAACTGAAACAGTAATTTTTTATTCTGGAATTAAGTAACCAATAATAAATGTTCAGCCTAAGAGCAAATCGATATAAAGAAATTTACAATAGTCTCATGAAGCTATAGCACATATTGGACTGCTGTTTATCTCGTGTAACAATTTGGTCGCATATCGCCTTACGTTTCCCATTCGCAAGTTCCTTGTCCAAGTATCTATCACTTCCACTCATCTGACACAGCCGATACCCTGAAAAACCAGATTCGAAAAGGTCATCTCGATATGGTAGTTCAGAGCTTAACAATCTGCCCGGTATAGCAAATTTCCGAACCCGTTTCAAGTCACGGAAGTTGATAGTTGGAGGAAAAAAGTTGATATAATCATTAATCATAATCATTGAGAAAAAATTAGATAGAGACGAAAAGTTACATCACGTAGAATCATAAATTTACTTCGGTTTGTCATTAAGCAATTGAAAAATGGCGAATCGTATGTGACACTGCACGATCATTGAATTAAAAATTACCTAAAGACTTTTGATGAAAACATTTTTCCGCCGAGTAAAAGCATCACGTTGGTACATACAATGTCGCAGCATGCAAAAATTCGTTTTCCTGTGTCCGTTTCTCCACATTCTCCGGCCGCTGTCATCGTGGTCGTGTTCGCGTCGACGTCTGGCAGGCTTGTTGCCCCCTGCTGATGTAAGGTGAAGTCGCTTACGATTACCAATACGCGACCGTCTCCCTTTTACGTTCCGTGAAAAGAAACTGTGACCCGTGAGCCCGTCGATTGGACTGTCACATCGATTCTCATCGGCTCGGACGACGGACGACAACGTGTCCTGGATGTTGGCAGGGGACGCGAAAGACGAGCCATTCGCCGGTAATGATGAAACTTGTTGAATCTCTCGCGCCCTCTTTGGAAGGGCAACGTAGGTTCGGATACCAAGAGACGCATGATCGCGGTTAGCATCGCGATATATTAATACGTGGCCTTGTCCAGGGAATTATGGTGGATCGTTTAAAAGTGTATTCATTGCGGTCTTTTCTTACTCCGGAGGTCCACGTCGGCTTGATTACGACCATTCTCTGTTATTCTGGCGTTAACGTGTTTACCAGGATGTCGCCTGAATCATCGCTAATTTCTTGCCTCGTGGGAATGCTGTTTAGTAACGAACAATGAACGATACCTCGTGTACAAAAACGTGCGTTGCTTCATAGATAAGAATTCATAGGTTATATTTGGTTACCTTAGAACTACTAGATTGGTGTAATGTTTAGTAGCTGGATTCAGATTGAAAATCGCTTTCCGATTTAATTTCTTTCTTCGCAGTGCCATTGTCACGTTTTATTGCAGGCTTTCGGGCAGTCCTGGAAGGTTGTAAAGTAGTAAAAAAAGTATGCAATTGTTACGAGATTAGTGTTTTAGAGAATGTGAAAGGCAATTGGTCGGGGAAGTTCCCCTATTTTGGAACTATTTTCATGAGCTTAATCTTGAATAACGACTGACTGTCGGACAGACGCACCACGTAAAATGTCTGTTCTTCCGTGAATGTTATTAAATTGTCCGTAATGTTCTTCCTAATCACGTCCACTGGGCGGTAAAATCCATAATCTATGTCCCTCGGGTTTAACAGAGTAGCCTGTTGTTTAGCACAATGATACCTGAAATATTTGCATTGATTATATATTTAAAATGAAAGGAATTGTTTTCGTTAAATAGAAAAGCAAAGCTCGGAGCTATTGGAAAATGACGTTACTTTTAAATTGAATGTAATTAGAAAAACATTTGGAATTGGCACAAGTAACGGCATTGATTAAATAAGTTTATGGCGAAATTTTATGTACGCGGTTTTTGGCATCATCTCTCACGGTGATGACAGAGATTGATAGTTACATGAACGTATTAAGCTTAACATAAATCTTTGGAACGTGCAGCTTTTTTAGTATCTTCTTTGGCTTTTAATGTACGGGAGATAAAGAATCGAGGCGCCATGAGCCACATGGCTTTTTGGCGGTGCGGTACACGAAATCTGCGAAAACTTCGGTCTAGTGGCATCTTAAAAATTTACTTCATGATTACAGTGCGATTTAAAAGTAATAATGCCCGTGATGGTTACGCAGTAACGTATTACATATCATATATCATATCTTCTATAGTTTCGTAGTCGAATTTCGTTTGCGCGGCAAACATGTTCAAATTTGAATTTAAATTCGAATTCTGAAATATATTCAAAGATAGAGTAATGTTTTCGTATTTGACACGTAACGTAATTAATTTTTACAAAGAGATAATTTTTCATATCTCGGTATACTGCGAAAAGAAAGATGGCCGTTGCGTGCAATTGCAAAAGAGAGCGAGAGAAACGAAGAGAAATTAGCGAGAGAACGTGTTGTAAAATCCTGCGGAACGAATATCCGTAAATCGAGGGTTAAGAGGTATAGAAATGGCGGGTAGAAAGGTGAAACGGCGTGTCACGTTATCCCATGGCTATTGGTGGTTGTCACTGGCACGTACTGTACATATACCAATTAACGTATCCGTGCGGCTGGATCAGCGCGGTATGCGCCATAAAAGCAACATTCAAAGTAGCGGTGGTTGGCGCCAGCCGCCTCTTTTTCCACCCCACGGGCATTCTTTATGGTTCATACACACATCGCGACTGAATGAGGATTCACTCTCTCTGTCCCTTTACTCTGTACCTCGTTTCCTCTCTCTCCTATCCTCTTCCTTACGTCCACTCGTAGTTTCTTTTTCCTTTTACATCCTTCCTTCTTCTTCTCCTTTTACCATTTTCGATCGGTTATTTTTGTTTTATGTTCGTGCCGGGCCATTCGGTGTGTCGCCTTATAATCGATACGCCACCACGCGGGTTCCTTCGACTTCACGATCGACGACGCGACACGCTGCCCGAAACGCGTATACACGCATCCATTATCTTCTTCGGCAGTGCGGAAAGGGTGAAGGAGAAAGAGAATGCATCTTCTCTCTGGTCGCGATGTACGGTTTTAGCGGTAAGAGAGGCTCGATATGGGCGTTACGCCGGCCAGCATAAAACCTCGGCGTATATCACTGCTCCTTACGAAATGAACTTTAACGAGAAGTTTCTCGCCAGAGGGAAGGAGTTTCGGCGACAGTGGCGCGCACACGACCGTTTTACGAGGCAATAAAACGATGTTTTTTTTACAAAGCACGCTATTCCCGATGTCCATGGCTCGTTTCGAGCATGCACATTCTTGGGAAATGGAAATTTCTAATAACGCGGATTTCTGGAATTTCTATGAAGGTTAAAAAGTACAAGTTAGGTTAGGTTATTTCTGAAACGACAATAAATGTCTAAATTTTGGTGAAAATTGTACAAAAGAAATCGACGTTGTCTAAATAGGTAAACATAAGACGTTCATCATGTTGCAGGTATTGACATAGTGCAGGATTTGCCAGCACAGTTGACTTCCGAGGAAGAAGAGCGAAGTCTAAAACGTAATTGTCCCCATCAATCTATTCACTTAATCCTTTCTAAGACATACACGAGCCTCATCCAAAAACCTTCACATTTTTCCAGATTTTGGGACTCTCCTAACCGGTAAAACATCCCAGGCAATACGTCGCGATGAACCTACTCCAACGTCGATGTACAATAGTGCCTACAACTATCTTGCAACAGGCCGTTTCACTTTTCACCGCAAAAATTTATACTATTCCTTCTACTTGTCAACATCAACTCCTCGCCCGAAAAACATACAATTTGTTGATGGATCAGGAAGCATTCTCGAAGAGCAGACAATTGATCCCATTGGTGGGGTATATCAAAATGCAACAGGGAAACTGTGCGGTGTATGGAGGAGGGTTCCTCGAGATTATCGAAAGCTGCTCCGCGAGGAGCGCCTGCATGTATCTTTTATATGGGAACCGTCGGCCACCTTGACTGGACAGTTGTCCCGTTATCGTGCTCTGCCCACGGAACAGTATTCCTCCTTACTGGAACCCACAATGGGTGTGGATCGTTCATTGATGTCAGGTGCAGGTGCCACCGCTATAGTCTCAGCATCGTCAGCATCAGCACCATCTATTCACGTGTCTCTGGTATTCAACGGCGTCTTCTTGCCTAATGATGTTTCTGAAGTTCCCTTGATAGTTCAGCTAGAACACATGGAAAAGGATTATGTGGTTCTGCGAGAAGAAATTATAGTAAAGAAACCATCAAACGAATTAAATTTCGGGGAAGTACGAAGCGCACTTTCTGGGGCGGATCTTCGTTTGCTGACACGCGGAAAACTCTCTATTAGTATAATGTCTAGAAAAGATCCCCAGGCTCTTCGATTGGCTGGCGTAGTGGGTCCACGTGTTAACTGTGAAATGTATCAGACATTGCTTCTCTCAGAAACACCCTCGGCGGCTTCTGGGCTAGCTTGGGCATTCTTGGACCGTGCTGGTTCATTGCGTTATGGCGTTCAGTTGCTTGGACTAGAAGATGAAAGCCCTTTGGTAACTCTAGTAGACGAGGGAGGCAAACGCCGTACTGAATTGGAAGACTTAACGCCTTCTTTGATCGATGGTCTAGCCAATGGATCCTTGGAACGTCCTGGACCGCGTTTTCTCGAACCTTTGTTCAACGGAGAACTCGCAGTCGTTGCTGCTTCACACGTTGGCTCCATGTTACGCGGTAGACTGTTGCAAAGGCCAGTGGCTGACGCTAGAGACACTGCCGCACCTGTTCTGCTTAGAAGATTGTCTCAGGAACCTGTACAGCCTGGTCCAGTTGGCCTTGTCTGGATTGCTGTAGATTTAGATTGTTCTCTTCATTACGAGCTTGAAATTGCTGGTTTCCCGCAGATGTCTTCCACAAATAATCAAGAACAACGTACCTTCCGACTTTATTTAGAAACTATGCCCTTATTAGCTCAAGGAGCACCCGTAGCTAGAAGATTATTGGAAGAGTTTACTGGATACGTATTGGAAGGTTCCGTCACTGGACTTTCGCCAGTGGAACTGTACAGAATTGAATCTGGTATTGGTTTCCTGGAAGTGACCGATAAACAAGCTGAAAGGATTCTGAAGGCTCCGTTTAAGGCCAGAGCACCGCTCAGTTGTCTTCCTCACTATGCAGATAACGACGTTGCCTCGGTAGTTGCGTATAATCTTCAGCCGCCTCGGTCGGATATTGAAACTGGTGCATGTTTCCATGAGACTAGATTCTATGAAGAAGGTACACAATGGACTTCCAGCACAGATCCGTGTTCCATGTGCCATTGTTATCGTGGATTAGCGCAGTGCGACCCAGTACCTTGTCCAGCTCTCACCTGTGCCCAAGGCAAGCAACTAAAGCCAGCTTCTGGTCACTGTTGTCCCATTTGTTCAGGTATGTTATTTTTATCTTCATACTTTCCTTACTTTTTCCTCTTTTTGTGAAATGTTAGGAAAATGACGAGTATATGAATGTGAAAGATTTCTAAAATAACACGGCAGGAGATCTATACTCAAAGTGTTGAAACAACCGTGTTGTTTTCACACCTTTACATTTATTAATACGGTTCTTATGTTCTGTCGTATGGTCATGGTATTCTCATTCTTTACAATTATGTTTGTTAGAGACGCGTGCGGAATCTCGGTAATTCAGAATAATGCATGACAAATGCAGGATCAGCTATTCGCTTTCGACGATGTCGTTTCGATAAATGGCACCGTGGAGAAACAAGAGAATGATCGTGGTCGATATTCAATCCGATTACCCATGACACGTTCCATGAAAGTAATCATGTACCATTAGTTATACTTACTTATAACCTTGTTTAAATTATACAATCGCTTATCGATCATGTTAAAAGCCGAATTATTTCACAGCTTCTTCGAATTTACCTGTTATTGTATATCCTTGTCAAGAAAACATTAGGAATCATTCTGCTAAAACAATTTACAATTGGTTAATATTAAAAGACGATAGTGAGTGTATTCTCAGTCAGTGTATTCTTACCTAGTACTTATAAATTTTCATGTAATCATATTTTCCAAGATAGTTAAATCATCATCATCCACGTGAGCAGGGTATTTATCATTCCCAATAAGCTAATTTAAACAAAAGAATATCGCAGACTTAATCAAGTAAAGTACGTACTTTGAGCACTGCTTTTAATCGAAATCAATTGGAGCTCTGTTTATCAATTACACGTCAGGCAACCACATCATTCCAACAGTCCAAAGTTAGAATCCTATTAACTAGGTCCGTTTCATCATCAATATCCATCGGCTTAACAAATACGATATCACACCAGGCGATATAGGAACAGTAAATTCAACGGGTTCAAACGTTTCTTCCGTTTTTCATCTGTTTAATAGGTTAATGACTACCTCCATTTGACGCGTTCGAACGATAGAGATGTATCGGGTCGATTGTAACTAGTCAAGAAAAACCCCTCTAGCGGAATCGAATTAAAGCAATGCGTCATTTTCTTCCATCCTCCGGTACATTGACGTTCTACTGTATCTAATTAACTTGATTGTGATGTTCTGTTCGTCCGGTTTCTCTATTTGTTGCACTGTTTCTCTCTAAAAACAGTTAGTTGAATTCGTTTTAGATAAACTTGCCTCGTATATCAATTTTTTGAAAAATTACCTTTTATTCGATTTCGACATGTATACATACATACATATATGCTACGAGAAATATCCCAAACCGAAAACACAGGAAATCATTTATATCGACGAATAATAGTTTTACCCAGTGAAATTTAGATATGATTTATATGCATAGGTCCTGGGATCAACATGAATGGGACGGGGAAAGATATCACTCCGGTGACGAGAGGCTGTACACTGGCTGGCCAGTTCCATCTCCCAGGAGCATCATGGCATCCCTATTTACCCCCAGTAGGATTCGATACTTGCGCCGTTTGCACTTGTGACGTAAGTTTTTAAAAACTACTTTATCTATCGATCTCGTCTTGTTATAATCCGCACGAATTTTATCGATTGTGGAAAATTACCGACGGAGTTATGTTCGCTTACCTCTTCTAAACAACGAACCGATTGTCAATAATAATTCAGATCGTTAATGCCTCGTTTAAACAAATTCCCATGATTTCTTTCACCGGCAATTTTTTCCTAACCGCAATAAGCGGTGACGTAAATGTTCTTTAACCTTAGGTCGAATTTCGAAACATGTTGGAATTTAAATGGTCCCGCGACGCGGAACAGAGAGCTGAAACGCGCTAGGCACGACGGTTTCGAGGCACGGTTCGAATTCCACAAGCGGCTGACTTTTTCCAGTTTCTTTGTTTACCTCTTTACTATACGTTCACTCTCGTCGCGGTCGGCCAGAGAATTTCGTAACGATTCCAGCATCGGTGTTGATCCTGCGACATATATTATAATGCGCTCTCTCGTAGGCAACATTTATAAAAGGCCCGTGCGAATGAAAAATTCAACCAGACACTGGGGCGCGCTACCACGCGCGCGTACAAGTTCGTTGCGCCAGAAGAATGCGGTTGCTCTCTGCCGAGTCATGAAAAGGAGCTCCGTGTTGCGAACGCGGCGATCGGCAATCAGTGACAGGCCTTTCTAAATAGATATTAGAGAATTGTTTGAAGTCATGCTTGAAACACATTGCACCAACTCATGTTCATTACTTGAGATAAGATGTTCATTTTGATTCGTTGCTTGTCACATAAATTCTACTTGACTAAGTCTGTGCGTATTATACAGGGAAACATTGATGTCGAATAATTATATTCCTTGACATTTCCTTAGCTTATACATTGGATGTTCTACATAACCTCTTCGTTTTAAATTTACCTTTTGTATTTATTCAAGCGTCGATTGCAGCAGCAGAAATTATTTAGAAATAATAGCATAACATTTTCTGTGACTCCTAATATACTTCTATTCTTCTTCTAATGATAATGGAGATCTTAAAAATCTAAAATAAGGGAGTTTGTACAATTTATAATCTCAATGTAAACGCGGCATTAAGTTTTGACTACGGATGTCCATTTATCTTACAGCTCGTCACGCTGGAGGTGAAGTGTCCACGGGTGCAGTGTCCGCCATTGGACTGCGACGAGAAGATCGCCTTCAGACCCAGCAAGAAGGCTTGTTGCAGACAATGTCCGGCGACGACGCCCAGCACGGCAAATGTGGGAGTTGGGGGCGACACAACGCGTTTACCACGGGACCAGGCGGCGCCATCCACCAGGCGCACTGCTGAGGAGATATTGGCTTCCGGTGGCTGCAAATATCCCCTTGGTGGTCCCTATGAGAACGGGATGGAGTGGCATCCACGAGTCCACTCGCACGGAGAAATGAAGTGTGTGAAGTGCAGATGCAAGGTGAGAACCAATAGTCAATAGCTATTTACTCCATTTCCAATGTTACGAATTTTTCTGTTTATCGGCACTTAAATTCTTTGGGTACTGTTTAAGTCTGGAGAACTTTTGATAGTCTTGAAGAATCTAGGGAATTTTTGGAGGAATTAGTGCTGGAAGATTTGAAATTCGTTATCATTTTCTTATTAGTTTTGATTAGTTGTTTATATGAGAACTGAGGCTTATTTATTTAATGATACAAACTTATAGAAAAGATTTAATCCGAACGGATTGTTGTTATGTTGTATAAACAATTGTCCCGTCCTGTTTCCAAGCAGTAGTCGTTTCCATGTTCTAAAGCTGTTTACAAATTAGTCTAGCGTGACTAATTATGTATATTTATTAACAATCAGCATGTCATATCTCACGCCACTCTTCCGACTAGGTTCCGTTGACTGATTTGTGTACAATCTAATTAAATGTTGAAATAAATCGAAACTGTTGGACTCGTGAGAAATATTGAAATACAAGGTAATTTATATAATATGCCGGAAAATATCTTATAGCTTGAAATAAATGTCTAGCAAGACGAAAATTTATATTCAAATTTATATTTGTTCTGAGAGATAGCGTGCAATTATTCTTGTTCATATAGGAAATTTATAACTGATATTTTTCATTCATCTATATTATAACCTCTACGCGAATGAAAATTCTTTGAAAGAGAAAATGTTATGTCTTAAAACTCTTAAAATTCTCGTTAATTTAAGGTTAATTTCAGACATTTTCCAACTCAAATAATTTCAGAATTAAAATTATGCATTCGAACCGTCTTGTGAACATTCTTGGCGGCACGCAACACCACTAAAGTGATCGAAGATTCTTCGCTGTCGGTTTATTAACGCTCCTTCTTTTCTTATGTACCATAAGTACGGTAAAGGTGGAGTTACGTCGGTATCTGAAAGTGCGGATGAACGTTCCCAGATCGTGACTGTTTTGCGGTTATTATTTGACGCACGGGATAAGAATCTGTTCGATCGATGGTGGCGCTCGTGTGAATTTCGGAAGATTGTTGTTCTCCGCTACATTGTTAGAGGGTGTGTAGCGACCACTCTAGTTAGTACAATAGTGCAGTTTTAAGAAAGTAGATATATCGAAAATATAGATTAGGTTAATCTTACAGAAGTGTACGTTGCAATTGTAAACTGAAATGAATTGCAAAGGAAAATAATAAATTGCGTACATGGTGCAGATTGTGCAATTTTAGGAACACATGAAGTAATAGGGTAGGTTGAGTAATAAGAGTTATAATTTTTACACATATAAGTTGCAAGGTATAATAAAAAAAACTGCATAATTTATGCGTATAGAATAATTTATAAAGTAGGTTTGTAAGTAAGAAGCACAACTTGACACTATACAAATGGATATTATAGGAAAATTGAGTTATAGTCGATGTAGTAATTTTATTTATAAAATAACCTATAAAATATTACACTATTATATAGAATTATCGTAAAGTTGGTTCTGATAATCGAAATATCTATGTGTTTTGTAGCCTGTCAGGTAAATTGATGGCTTGAATATGTGCAGTTTGTAAAGCTATAAGAAAATGAGATCGATTCATAATTGTGTTTATTATGCCAAGAGAAATAGTAACACGTATTGCAACCAATTGCTACTATGAAAGTACCTGAATGATATATAGTAATACCTCCTTACATGATAACCTTGCTACGCTGTTGGTAAGAAAATATACAATTCGAAGTACTAGACAAAAACTACAGTGTCCTTCATTACCGATAGAACACAAAGTTCGAAACGTGTTACAAAATTCAATTAGTAATAATGGATTTCTTTTGACATTGCATAGATATAAAGTGGCTCTTATTGGACATGTACTGTTGAGAACTAGTAGCGCTAGATCGTCACGGTACTTTACTCAGTGAATGCGACAATTTCCGGTTTACACGATCGCTCTTAACCTCTCATCAGCCGCATTCCACTCGTGCTTGAAGTTACTGGCCGACACGATCCAGAAGACACATCTTTACTACCTTTTCAAGGTATCATTGGCAAAGTGAGCAGAGTAGCTATGACTATTTACAAGAGGCACCTGCTTCTCTCTAAAAGATATGTTTAATTTCAATTAAATATTGAGTTTCTCCATAATATCGTGATAAATATGAGGTAATTATTCAGTACCTAGAAATATCTTTTCAATATTTAATTAAAATACACGTTCAGTGCCTTATTTCCGTTTCTAACCTCTCTTTTTACAGATATTGAATATAATCTTTTTTTTTGTAAATAGTATTTCAAATCAGCTACGCATTTTCATCACATGATTAAAGTTAGTTAATAGCAATGTGATTTCCTTAAATAATAATAAACATTAAATAATTTGAACATCGTGATGCTACAAATAAACCGTAGTTTGTTATGAGACTGTAGATAGAGCAGCAAAATATTTTTTTGTACAAAAACCGGTTTCTATGAAACTTGGAGTGACTTTCTTTTGAATGGAAGTGTACAGGAAATTTCAGGGGCGCCGTGATTATTTTTCGCGGACTCGCGTATCCTTCTTTGGTCTCGGTGCAACGACACTTGTCCAGACGCGTTCTACAACTTGAAACAAAGGTCGTTCAAGGTTATGGAAGGTTTTAACATTAACGATACTTATCTTACTAAAAGTGCTCGATAGTAATGGTCGTTTGCACCATATAACCGAATTTACAAGTAACGTGAGTTCATCAAGAAATCAGGTAACAACCTTCTTTGTATTTCATTTGCAGGCCAACATTAATCTTTAAATTAAAGATTGTTATCTTTGAATTTTCAGGTAGTTGTCGATCAATTTTAATAATATTCTCGGTAATTACTTCTGCTTCTTCGATAACACCTGTGATCCTATATGGAAGCAAGAATAGAAAAATCCATAAGAAATTTTAGATCAACTACTAAAAGTATTTCAACTTCTGAGAATTTTTTCAAACTATTTCATACGATTTTGCGATAAGGGTAAAAGTGATTTGGTAATAAGATGGGACGTTATAACCGTAAATTGATATATTTCATACATTGCCAGAATTTTGAAATTTGATCATAAAGCCATTTGTATCGAAGGATTTTCAACTTACTCCAATAGATATTACCGATCGTTCCAATCGATAAGTAAGGAGCAAAAAAGTTTCACTGGCATTTTCGTCCGCATTTCATTATTTATGCGAAGGTTTCGTCGAAAAAGCAATTCGCGACTCACTTTACTTTTGCTCATACGGCCTCACGGTATACACTCGTTAGAAGCGCTCGGTGGTAGCCTCGTTGTAATGTCCAGACACGGCCACGACTAGAGACCTTTAAGGAGAAAACCTTTAACCGGACTCGTTCTCGTGGGTCGACCATTAAAAGGGTCCATCCATTACGATAAAAATGGAACGTGGCCACGGATCGCGCGAGTGGACCAGCATTACACGGAGAAAAAGTATCGCTTCTCTCCAGTACCGTGATCGTGAGATCACCCGCGAGATACTCAGTGTTCCGCTAAATTCTATTGTATATCCATCTTAACGTTTGTAGTTCAACTAAACTTGGTGATGCTAAAATTGACCCTTCATAAGATTAATAGGATTTTTACAATAGTAACATATAAAAGTAGTATAACTAAAAATTAGATAAAATATAAAATAATAAAAATCTAAAGGATGTAAGTATATGTGGATATGAGTAATTATACTAATTATTCTAAAGTTAAACAGAATAACAAAAGAAAAGTTAATTATAGCTTACCTAAAGGCACTTCAGGTTCTTTGCACATTAATGTAAATTTATGAGTCCTAAGAATGAATATGTATCGTTATACTTACTTAATGAGCACTTTATCTTGAATAATGTATAGTACCGTTGAAACGTCTTCACGTGTGTGATGAAAAGAGTGACATTAATGTTGAAATGATAAAATATTTGAATTCAGAGTAAAAGATTGCATCGAGTCTAAAGTGGGCTTTGCCATCTTTGAATGTTTGCAGAATGGCGAGGTCAGGTGCGACAGGAAACGGTGTCCACGAGCGCTCTGCAACACGATCGCGCACCAAATGAAACGTGGCGAGTACGTGGCAGATGGCGATGACTGTTGCACGGTCCAGTGTCGCCGGGCGAGGCGTCATCATCGCAACAATCATCATGCAGCCCGACATTCCGTGACGCCACGCGAACTCAGCTGAGTAGATCCAACCGCTGCTACAAAGCTTTCTTCGAACAGTGTTCTGGTCCATGGAAGCATTTCTGGGCCTTGTTTCTCTTTGTAGTCATCGGATTCATAATTAGCCATGCTGTAGTCGTTATCATCACTACTTTTAATTCCAAAGCGACTCCAGAGCGACCGTGGAGCTATCAAGTGACGGGAGTAAATTGATATCGCAGCATCCTAGATTCAAAAGGAAAAGCTCATGTCAAGGATTTTATAAGTGGTTCTTGGAACCTGCAGCATCATTAGTAGATAGGTTTAGAGATACGTTCAAAATATTGGCCTTCTTTTTTAGGATTTGTGAACGACGTAAAATTACATGGAAGCAACGTTATTAGGTTAAGAGCAGTAGGTGAGACGATCTGAGATTCGATTTACATGGATGGACAGGATTAAACGAGGCCAGGACAGACGAAATAAAAAGAACATAGAAGCACCTCGGTGGGTATGTTGAAGTTGGTCAATTTGGTTGGTTATAGATAAATTGTGTGCAAACTGCATTATTCCTCCGTATGGTAACAAATAACATTTCTACAGAAATTATATTGAATACTCGTGTTAAAGAGATATTCTATGAGAGAGGGGGAGAGAGAGGGGGGGAGAGAGAGAGAGAGAGAGAGAGGGAGAGAGTGAGAAAGAGAAAGAGAAAATGATGCCGTGCTTTGTATCCATCGTAGCAACCATAAATGAAAATGGGATCCTTGAAGAAACGATTGGTACTTCGTTGTAAATGCCTATTCAGAAATGATAAATCACAACCGGAAGATTGTAATGAACGAAACAGAAAGATTTGTCTCTGGTATGACCAGTAACCATCACAGGAAGCTGTAACAGTGATAATATAGCTATGATAAGTCACAATATAACGTGAGCACGGTAAAAAAGGAAGGAACGTAGATCGTTCTCGTCAAATGCTATTCTTATATTCCCGTCGCTTACTCAGTTATTCGCTATGGAGTCCCTTGCAGCACCCACAACCAGACATTTATTAATCAATTGGCTCTCATCAACGGATCAACGGACCGGAAGCCAACTGCTCTCTATCTTCGAGTAACTTCTCGCATATATATATATATAGATATATATGTATATATATGTTACATATGCTATGTACACGTATATAGTCCTATACATACGTACATATATATTGTGGTACAGCGGCTATATTAAAAAGGAGCTAAAAAAAAAAGAGAGAAAAGAGTGGGAGAGAAATAGACGAAGGAGATAAACCTGGAGAGAGTTTAGAGTTGTGGCGGTAAATGCAGAGCTCTATCATACCCACCAACCTCACCGAGTTACCCAGCAACCAAAGAAGACTGAAGAACCTCCGATGGTGGCATCAGTTATCATTATAGCGCAAAATACGCTAAAGTTTATGTCACACTCTATTAACTCTACACAACTTATTATTGCTATGAATTATTATTATTAATATTATTACTATTAATATTATTAATATTATTATTATTAATATTAATGTCGTTAATTTCATGGTTCATTATTCATTTTCATGACGTTCATATCACAATTGTTCATCGTCGCTCATTTTAATCATTTATGGTTCATTATACTCATCATCATAGAAAAGTTATTTTCATTTCGATTTTCATTACTTTTATCATTATCATCATTATTATTATTATTAATGTTTCTATTACTATTTTTAAAAGTATAAAATACCGCTATTATTTTATGAAATATCCATCGCTATTGTCGACATATTCATTAATCGCGATTGTTATTGTTAATATTAACTGAGCGCGACATCTCATTTGAAAGTCTGTAATCTCATCGAAACAGCTTTTTTTGTAACATATAATTTTATTTATTGCTAGGTCCTCTAAGTTATTCAATGTCGAACTCCAATTATCCGAGTAAAATAATTATAGTTGTAAACTCGACGCAAATTCTTTAACCGAAATCATAAAGAATTTGAAAAATTGAAGTTCAGCAAGAATCTACTTTAAATCAGGATCAAAAGTATGCGCGTTAGCATCCTTAAATTTTTTTAGAGTATTACGTGTTATTAGAATGAATGCATTGGAGTGCATCAGTTTTTTATGCGTATGTTAAAACAAAAGTGAATATAAAATGTACAATTTTCTTTTAAACGAATTCGAAACAGTAATAACAGTGATAGGAGAAGGACTATTTGTAAAGATTTCATAACAATTTTAATCCATTACTCTTGCGAATTCGATCAATTGTGTTAATTCTGACGGTTCACATGATTCCAGCTGTTCTTCTTTATGTTGTCATTCAGGACTACGAATAGTAGGATCAAAAATTTATATTCAATTTTGTGATTTGTCAATGTTACATGTAAATCGGAATTATTTTGCAGTCGGAATTTAGTGAAAGTGGACATTCAAAGACACGATGAAAAATATAAGGAAGTAATGAAGTTCAGATAACAGATAATTCTAATTCATCTTAAGCGAATATTCCGTACTTTGTAAAATGAATTTCAACCTCCTTTATTATAAAGTTAACTTTTAATCTGCATCGTGACGCACTAGTTACTTGTTGTGCATTTCTTTATAATCTAGTCTAAACGTCCGGAGCATCTTTTTTTTCTTTTTTTTTTTTCTGACAATCTTGCAGAAAAGAAGCGGTGATCCGATCACCGATGAAAGAGGAGAAGAAGACAGGGGTAGCAGTTTTATGTGTAGCCGTGACAGCTGGCAAGTCTGCTTATTTTCAACACTTTTAGTACGGTATATTTTCCAATAGAGTGTGCACATCAGGAAACTGCAATTGTTTTTCATGATCAATAGGTTGAAGACAAGACAATGAACTGAGCAATCTGTATTACACAGAGTTTCATTGAACAGTTGATACGTTCAGTGCAGTGATTTTTATATTTATTTGTAATTAGCGAGTATTTTTCCCATTAAAAAAATTAACCTATATTTTTACTATATGATAAACAAATATTTTATTGAAGTAGCCATTATCAAAGTTCTACTGAGATAATATACATTTTCTTCAAATGTGATAATTTTAATTAATTAAGAATTGAAAAGTAATATATTTCATAACAAAGTAAACTTCTAAAATTTTTAATCACAAACGTTTTAGAAAATATGAAATACGTAGTTGTAAACAGACATCTAGCTTATTCTTCTGAGCTTCTGTTGAAATAATGCAGCTCTCGTGTAACACGGTCATAGAACAAGTGTTAGAACGGAAAACGCAGTCTTGATCTAGTGAGAACGATTAGAATTTGCTTCGCGCGACACCACTTTTTGTGGGACCACGATTACTAATCGGTAATGTAGTCCGATCCCGGATAAATTTGAAGCGTTTATATCTAATATACAAGAAATTTCTTGACCCTTTGAGACTATTCGTGCCTTAATGATTGTGAATGTATGTTTAGTCAACATTATTAACCCTAGTTGGTTACTTCGTAAAGGCTTAAAAGCTATCGATTTTCAATGTTTTTTTTTTTTGTACATAGACGCATATGTATTATGTAACGAAAATCACGACTACTATTAACGAGCTGTCAACATTGCGATTATTATTCTTATTTTTATTATTATAAGTAGTAGCAGCAGTAATAGTAGTGGTAGATGTAGTCGTAGTAGTATTTATATAAAATTATATGACGTCTTCGTATCTCAGACAGTTTCGATGATGCTTATTATTATTAATATTAACATTATTTTGTTCTACTACATTATTATTATATTCGTATTATTATTATTATTATTATTATTATTTAGTACTATTATTATTATTATTATTATTATTATTATTATTATTATATTCGTATTATTATTATTTTAACGATTATTTAAAGCCATCCTTCGTACATGCATGTTATATATCACTCTTGTTATAAAGACAAACATTTTTAAACCTTAAGAGAATACTGTATTGTCCCGAGAATGCATTAAACTCACATTATTTTTTTTTATTTTTTATTTTTTTTTTCTTATTTTACTAATTGATTGGAATATCGTTGTCGACATTTTTACCTACAATTCGACTGGTGCAAAAATCGAAGATATCGTGAAACATAGTATACTATCGAGATATCGCAGTCACGTGACTGCGATACTGAAGAATCGTGTTTTAGAAATTTCATTAACATCGATAAATCGATTGAACAATAAAACATATTTGAATCGATAAAGGAATAATTAAGTATATAAATCTAAATATATATTTTCTTTTTTTTTTCTTATCAGATGTTACACGACGATGTCGATTTGTAAATTTATGTAAATTATTATATAAGAACCACAGAAGAACGCGGTTTTACAGTGCCTTAAGAAGTTTAATTAACAATCGAAGCGATCCAGTACGAAGTTGTCCGAGGGACAGCATCAAATGATACACCTTGTAGAAATTACAATTAAGTGTAAAATATTGTCGATAAAACCAAAAATCTGTTTTTCGAAACTCACATTTAAATGTGGTAACTATCAGTTGGAACTTTTCATTCGTTAACACGAAGTCGTTAATTTTGTACATTTAGTGAGAAAGATGGTGATATTTTGTACTGTGCCAAAACGATTGTCAATTAAATCGTAATTAATCGTTAATACGCTAGAATCGTTTGTTATTTCGACTAGTTTGTTGCAACTGCATTACACGTATGAGCGAATATGTACGCGTATCATAATTCGATGAGGAACAAGCCAGAGAAAAAGAAAGCGTGATGGAGAAACAGATAGAGGGAACAATGCGAGAAAATGAGAGAAGCGTGTAACCAATTGTTGATATTGCTAATTGATGCAATAAAACGTATAACTGAACATAAGCAAATAATTATATTAGAAGTAATTGTATGCCGATTTCAGTATTTCCATTAATAAACAAATACATTTGATTGAGTCTCGTTTGTGTGTGGTGTATTGATTGAAACACGTGACATCACTGATTTGATGCATTTCGATGTTGGTGTTGGTAAGGCGCCTACTACAGTACACCTGTGAGACTTGGCGATGGTTATGAGAATTGCTAGGCTATTTATAATATAGCAAATAAAATTCGCAATAAATATGGCTATTTTTGCTTTGATTATGCATTTGTAACGAATATTTATTACATTAAATCTAACTTTTATTATAACATGAAAAGATATTATAAAATAATTAAACCTTGTGATACTGAAAATTGTATTAAATGATGAAGTAGATATTTAAATGTAACAATCATAAAAAGAACACTTGACAGTAACATTTCCCATTATTTTTTAAAGTTTAGATTGTGATGCTTGCTTCAAACCCTCGTCCAAAGCAAGCAGAACAAGGTCAACCTTTCTAGGTGTTGCGTTGATTCCTAGCAGTCCAATTCGTAAAATTTTCCCAACAGTTGGTCCCAAGCCTTTACTCACTTCAACCTTGTACCTAAATTACAACATACATCGAGGTCAGAATAATATCAAATGTAACACTGAAGTATTAAAATTGCTACTTTACAATTCTGCAACATACGTAGTCACTTTTTAAGTATTTTAATTGTGTAATTTAAAGCAAAATGAAGTTATAGCAATATTATAACATTTTAGGTAAAAAACTTACTTTTCCATGGCTCGTTGAACAATGATCGTATCATCGACGCCAGGTGGCAACTCTATAGAGATCACTGTAGATAATTGATACTGTGGAATTTTCACATAAGATCGAAGACCCCGTAATTCAAGACCCTTTCTTAATCTGGCAGCTGCGGCAGCGTGTCTGATCCACAATGCTTGAAGACCCTCTTCAGCGATTTCCGCCAACGCTTCACGGAGAGCATAAAGTAGCGTGGCACTTATGGTGTGATGATACACGCGATTCTCATTGTCAAAACACTTCCAATAAGCTCCAAGCATAGTCAAATCCAAGTAATACGAAAGAGGTTTGGTCTTTCTTTGAAACAATTTTTGCCTATTATAATAAATGAAATATGTAAAATAAAGCATATAAACATATGTAGGTGGATAAGGACAGGTTACTTCTTAATGGAGATACACCATGATATGCTGTTGTGCTAGTTAATTCAAAAGCCGTCGTAGAATATAGTAGAGTCTCATCGAATAAGAATTCATTGGGCATCCGCAGTTATGAATCACAGACAAACCGAATGGATTACGAGTCACTGTGATGACCTCATGAATTGGATTGATATTCTAAGTGGATAGCTATAAACCCCGATTCTCAGGCCATTTTCACGTGTGAGTTGTAGTTGAAAAGAAAACCGCGATCACATACTCTGCCCGTGGACTGAACGAAATAGGAGAGAGCCCTGGTGGGGCACCAAGAACCTTCTGGCTGCCTGTGTAAGTCACATCGATGCCCCAAGAATCCATAAAGAATGGCTCACCGCATAGTGACGCAACTACGTCAACGATAAGAAGAGCATTGTACCTAAAAGAATTTTTATTTTCTTTGTATTCTTATTTTGACTATTCTTCGTTTAGAAATTATACTTGAGAAAAGACTCTCACATTGACATATAATGATTAAATTATATATCTATTTATGATATCTTAATTTATACCAATTTTAAATATGTCTTTATGAAAACATTTCAACTAAATACAATTTAAAATATCAAATTTAGAAATTTAAAGATATAAAAAATAACACCTGTGAACAAGATCACCAAAACCTTCTAATGGTTGTTTTAAACCGGTGGAGGATTCAGCATGAACCATGAAAACTGCGACTGGCCTATACAGTACCAAAGCTATTTCCAATTCCTCCAATGTGACAGCTTTAGTATGTTCTGTTTGTATCACTTTTACCTATATTTAAAAGTTTATACACGATTTACATTTAAATGTAAGAAGACTTTAGAACTTTAAAATTGAATCTTTCAGTATGTCACTTACGTTTGCGCCAATTCGATTAGCCATGTCGGCTGCTCGTTCACCCCAAATCCCACATTTCACAATGAGTATAGTTTCTCCAGGTTCAAGTAAATTTGTTAAAGAAGCTTCTATACCGCCGTGGCCTGACGTGCTTAATGCCAAAGTAAGCCTATTTCTGGTTTGAAACACGTACTGAAGACCTGCCTTAATCTCGTCCATTAACTACAAATTAACATCAGTATGATTAATTCTGCGTTGAAAAAAGTAAATGAAAAAAGAAAAAAGGGATATATATAAAAGGTATTTCATCTATCATGCGTTTCTTAATATTTCCAATAATTTTATTTATATGAAAAATGATATCAAAACAAAATTGTTAGGTTAAGAATGACGAATATTGTGATTTATAATTTTTGCCTGAAGGTCATTTTTCCCCAAGTTTTCAATGTCGTTGATATGTTGTGATCACTAATTGACATCTATTTTATTGTAATATAACATTATAGTGAATATCAAGACAAGATCAACAATCTCCAATAACATGACCTTCAAATGGCCTTGAATGGAAAAGTGACAGTAACTTAATCTTGGAAATCGAAGATTTTTTTGTTTACCATACAACAAATGTTCAAAATGATTTCCATTGGCTTCGAGATACCTTCGAACACAAAGTATAAGGTCTGTTTTTGCACGTATGGTGGAGACTATATTATAAACTTATCTTTTCATGTATCTCCTTAAGAAAAAATCATGTGGAGTAAGATCTAATAATCAATCAAATATTGTAAATTTGCCTTAATCATTATTTATGAGCAACAGATACTTTATTAACGATAACGATCAACCTCCTTGTATTTTTTAATGCAATTACTTGGACATAAGTAAAATGAAACGCCTACCTGACAAACTTCTGGATGAAGATGACCAAGAACTTGATTCTGAAGAGACTGAAGAACCCGCTTCGAACAATTAGTCGGACCAGGACCCGTTAATGTTTTTACCGGTAACTGCAGTTTATTTCGAAGTACCTCTGGCGGTTTCTTATGAACAGCCAACTGATTCCATTCGCAACATCTGTCCATTTTTTAATGAAAATAACCTAAATAACAAACGATAAATAAATTCTCTAAATTACTAATCTCATTAAAAAATTTTATAAATGGTAAAGTAACTAGCTGCAGTAGCAGTGACTAATTATCGAAAGATTATTACTTCCGGTTACAGCATACGTTACCATCAATAAAATAAATATACAATTAATTAAAAAATTTCATATTTAAAAAAATTTTATTTCATAAATACACTATAGATTTTACTTGAATATAAGATTGAAATTCGGAAAGTAATATTAAATATAGCATAATAAACATATTGGATATTAAATATACTTGCTATATTTTTGTATTGCTACATAGTAATATATATATATATACTCTGCTTACTCCGCCTGACTCTCATATCATGTGTTGACATAGTAGGATACTTTACATAGATATTTGATTTATCTTATGTTAAATGGTTAACATTGATTCGATTCTATATGACCTCATTCGTAGATATGAAATTTTCGATCAATAATAAAAATTCGTGCATTCTGTCTTTTTCGTGATAATAGGAAAAGTAGTCTTATCGTATTATAACCAATCAGGCCCGCATTTTTTCCGTTAATCGCTTTTTTATCTTTCTGCATAATACGTGATTTTGTTACTTACAATTTATTATTTATCAGTGTACAATTTTCAGTTAGTCAGTGAACCAGTACTGTTCACGCGACCAAAGTGTATAGCAAACTGAGATTTGTTTCTATTATTTACCATGATAATACAGAAGTATTCTGTCGCTAGTGAACTCTTTGGTTAGGGGTGCGCGGGTACATCGATTACGAGCTCGGGTTCGATTCGGAATAAGTCGGGTAAACTCGAGCGGAACCTCGCAACGTAAGAATGCTCAGTACCCCGATAGTTTGGATCGAGAATCGAATCGAAAGACGTCAGACGAAATCCGTTTGGGACACTAAATAGATTACGTAACCCAAACACGTAATATGTACATAATATATCAATTAATAATATATATATACATGATATGTGTTATCATAATTTGTTTGTATTCCATATAAATTTCACCAGGCTTCCTTCTGCTCGATTTTTCATCTGACAATATCGAGTTGCTCGTGTTTCCTTGTCAAAGGTAATACCGCCACCTAACACTGCAAGAATATCTCTTTTTTATAGCTTCAATTTTATTTCAAACATACACATATATAACATAGTAATATTTGCCACGATAGTCTCAATGACGTAAAATTGATATTTGCCTCTAATACAGTAGTAGATTTCTAACATTGTGAAACAACCATTCGACATCGATAAAGAAGGACAATTTTAGGTTATGTAATAAATGGATTATGATTAATTATTTATTATTTACTTATTTGACATGAAATGTCACCCATAACAGCACTTATCATTCAAAGGAAGAGATTTTTGTTAATTTAATTATGTATAATCATTATTCTATTTATTCAAACATTACAGAAATAGTATACATGACAAGAAATTATTAATTTGCAAGCTGTGTCAAATGTGAAAGGGTAGATAATGAATGAGGCATTTCGACTTTTATCAATTTATTGAGTAAACTCGGAGCACAAAGAAATCTCTTCATTGATAGACGAAAATAACTTGATACGCTACTGGGATTTGATAACCTCCTGAATTCAATCATAACTTATGTAAATAAGATAGATGACTGTTAATTGTTAACGTCCACGGGTAATAATGGTGACTATCTATTATTCTTCTTTTTTTTACGAATTAATTAATCCTATTTTAAATTCAATGATAAAATTTGGAAAAATTTTATTAATTCATAGATTTCGTGCTTTAATTATATATTTGATAATTAGATATAGGTAACTTAGAAATTAGTTAACATCTATTTGAAATTATTTTAAAATAGCGTATAATAACTATAATTGCAAAACGCAGAGTTGCAAATAAGATATTTTATTTTCAACAGATAACAGAATAAGGAGGCTTCATTCATAACCGACAGTGGTATTCGCACCTGCTTTCAATTCACTTAATGCTTACTCACGACCACAGTTATCACATTAACACCTTATGGTTCGTACACCTTACAACATATTACAATGACATATACTAATAATCATTTTATCTATTCAATACAGTTACAAGTGTAAACAAATGCGTGGTAACGTCACTAATATACATAATCCTATGATTCAACACGTCATTCCCAATTAACAGACAGAAAATAACAAATGTGGATATTTTCGAAAGAAGATAAACGTATAACTTAAATAAATATTCAGTTTAAATTTACCTTATTCTTACCAGAACTACCAGAATTTATGCTAAGTTAAACTACGACTAATATGTAACTCTTAATTTATCGCTTTCCAAAAACATAGGGTCGAAAACAATATCAATTACTAGGCGATCGTATATGGAAGTGGCTATATACGTATCAAGACCCAGTCTTAAAGGTTTTAATACAATGATCGCCTTATTTAATAGCATTCCGTATGAAACATATGATTGTTAACTTAAAGCTAGAGGAAGAACGTAAAGCTACTGGTACTGTATTAAAAATTTTATTCCTTATAAAATGGAATACGCGATACTGCTTTTTTCTGTCCTGAGTTTTTCTCTGAAACAGTTAAATTTATTTAATAATGGATATTGGAGAAGGATATAAAGAAAGAAAGAAAATTTCAATTAAAGTCACGACACGCCTGGAAACAACGGACATCCATTCACAAGATAACTCCATGCTTTAGCAGTCTCGACCAATCGATCCGTACCCAATTTGAATCACTGTCGATTTCAAAGCGATTTGCACGAATTCGAAAAGAACAGCGTCGAGCCAATAAGACTCACGAAAACAATTGTAGTTTCCTTAGTGAGGACTACTAACCCCTACCTCATGAAGCAGGTATCCCAATTAAAAAACCATCCCATGAGAATTGACTGCAAGCACGTTATGAGTGTCCATACTAGAGAACTCAGTTTGGACAAGTAAATTCAGATACCTAGGTTGACTAGGGCAGTCAAATCTTCGTATACCGAAAGTATCATCAACTCAACGACGTCCCAACAGACTTATCACATTTGGAATTTGGAACCAAATTAAGATAGTGGCTTACAGTTATCAAGTGCATGAGAATGCATTGAATAGGCTAATTGATTCTTTCGATCGATCATGAAACAATAATCGGAAAAGGATATTTAAATTTATTCTCTTGAATAGGAGCACGGGCTCAATAACAATAAATTCATTTCATTATTGCAATCAATATACGATATAATATGTTGCGAAATCAAAGACAACCGGCTGTGTCTGAATTTAATTAAAAATGTATCTTTCTTATTTACAGATACAGTTTACAATTCATCAGCAGTTAAGTTTAACTGTTAGCATTTGGTAAGAAATTTCAAAGCTAACTGTACACATAAATCAGTCAATGTGTACTTATAGGTAAAAAGCATTATGTAGTTCATGGTCCCAGCAAGAGATAAATTCCTTAATATGTATTCAATATACATATCTAGAGCCTCATAACGGAGCACTGGCACAGCATTCCTTTCGCTAGAACACAAAGAAAATACATGGACAAGCGTTGGCATTAACACATTAAGAAAGGAATTTCAAACACTCTTCATTTTGCACAATTCTTTCAAGTTATTGTAAGTATGCTATGACTGTTTTATTTTTATAATGCTGTACTAATATTTGTATTACAATATAAATCTATAAGTTCTTTATTATACAAATATCAAAACAATTTGTTACTTTGTAATGTTTTACAGGTATGTACATATATTTTAGTTTCTAAAGCTGAAGCTAAAATTAATTCAACGGTATAAGAAAATGAACAATACACGTAATGGCATCTGAAATAATTAGTGATTTTCCCAACACCAAACGGTAAAAAAGAATCGAAGGTATTATTTTAAAGGGAGTATTATTAAGATTACAGTAGTACATTTTATTTTTACTTATATCTGTCATTTGTATATTTCAGTAAACGATAATTTTTTCGAGCGATTAAAAACTCGAAATTTTCTGTCGTAAGCAAACCAACGAAAATGCAGATCCACAGAGGGTCAAGTTCGGTTGCTCGACATCGTCTTCCCCTTCCATCGTGTTCACCTAACTCTCAGCTCCCACCCACTTAGGTTCCCTTTTTCCTCTGTCTCTCTTCTGCTCCTCTAAGCACTATGCTTCTCTGTCTCTCTCGTCGCTTTCTACCTCCTTCTGTTCTCCCTTCATAGGGGTCCGCAGTGTTAAACTGCTAGCAATAAATACTCTTCCACGGATATGAAATTGAACGAAATGACTGCAAAGTCAAAGAGAAAAGACAAAGTGATAAGAAGCAAGGACAGTAAATTTTCATCGGTCTTCAAAGCTCTGTGATAGGTTTTTCGTTCGTGAGCGATTGAAGAGTGAACGTGTGCGAGTCGTATGTGCAACTATAAGTTAACCTGTGTTCGTGATGGGTTCGGGACCGGTGGTAACCGGACTACGACATTCATACACGAACGAAAGATCGTGCGTGACTGGTCGGTCGGTTTATAGCCGAGAGTGTGCGGTCGTATCCGCGTGTACGTACTCCCTAACCTGCTTGTCGTGTGCAGACCTTAGCGTGTATTAGTCGGGTGTGCACGTGCGCTACCGCAGCCGCATTTGTGTGTGTGCCACGCTTCCAAGCCAGGAGACAACGAAACAATGGAACGTCGTCGTCTCAAGTCCGAATAGCAAGGCGAGCGGGTGGATCGTACTTGCTTTGCTTGCTCGTTTGGCTCGTACATCCTCAAAACCGTGCATGAACGGGTACTGGGGATTTCTGAAGACGGTCTTCAGGCTCCCAGCTTCGAGAACCGCTTGCTTGTGACTGCCCCCTGGCGTACTTGTTTCTCAGTAGAGACCGGGCCGTGACTAAGGAGGAACGCTTTGTGTGTTGGGCTGGAGAGATTTGTGAAACGAAGAACCGTACGTTCGCGTTATGAACGTTCGTCAACACAAGTGTTTACCATTGCTTTTTGTTTCTTGTGAAATATACATTTACCGCGATTATACATCGTCGTGATCACGAGGGTGTTTTTAAAACGTGCGTGAGAATCGCCGATCGATACTGGATCACGGTAGCCAAGGAAACGCACGAATCTCCCGGTGTAAATGTATGTATATCCTTTCCGTGAGCAGTGTTTACCAACTGGGACTGCGAATTTCGTATGAAATCGGTATCATTCGTCGATCTTCGTCCCCGAAAGACGAATTGTAATACACGACACACGGGATCGTCGTAATCGTCGACTGGTTGTCACACCGGTGGTCGGTGTATCCCAGTCGATCGGAAACCCGTCTACACTGGACAAGTGATTATCGATCCGCACGAATAAGTGAATCGAGTGTACCGAAGTGCCTGTAATTTAAGAAATCTGTGCAACGCGCTTCTCTCGATCTGGTATCGTCGCCTCGTACTCTTCCGCTCCTTTCATCTTGCATTCCCTTCGACCATCCTATCTTCGCTTTGCGATTCTCTCTTTTTGCTTTTCCCCCTTTCTCTACCTCTCTCTTTGTCGCTCTTTTCTCTGCTCCATTCCTCGGTCGACCGGTCTCTCAAGGGGGCGTGCTTGGCCACATTCAACAATGAGCGAACGCAAAACTATCTAAGCACGAGGCGCGAACGAATGGTTCCTTGTGTTTTCAGCCTGTGTGTGGCCTGATCTTTGCCCCGCGAGTGTGTTTACGCTGTGAAACAGTCGCTCAACCTTTTTTTCGGATTTCAAATGGATTCACAACGGCCAATAACTTAACGAGATGAGGATTGTCTTTTAAGCATACAGTGCTTCTCCATAAAGTAAGTATATCGATGTCATTATCCGTGTTCCTTTATTTTGAGTGGGTTCTGTGGTTTTTTTGTATTAAACTCTCGACATACGCAACGTCGCCATCTATTAAGCGATCTGATCACTTCAATTAACTTTTTTAACCATCGGTTCGTTAAACTGCCCAAAAAGACTCGCAACTTGCAAAAGAGGTTTACTTTTATTAAGTTTTTCATTAATTCCATTGACATTAAACTACCGAATTACTTGGTTAGGATAAAGATTCATTAGAACGAATTTCTCAATTGTGCTCTTTCGTGTACGTGTATATAGTCTATCTCTGTATCGCGGTGAGTCGGCTTTGATTCATAATCGTTGAGCCAATAGGTATCATGTTCCCATTTCGAAATATTATTACCCCGTGTGATAGATCGTGAGAAACGTTACCGGCCACCAACATACTTATCATTCTTAGAGAAATGGACACACGGCCATGCTGAAAACAAATCGTGTTATTATTTTTCCTCTCCTTCGTGAAGTAATCTAGGAAATAATTGGCTGGTATAGAAGCGAACAATTGAGCATGGACACGTGTCGGTAAGATAAGCCTAACAAATTGGACACGCTTTGACTTCGAGAAGACCCTCTTTCGGCTTAATTCAGAATGAAATGGAATAGAACCCGAGTGAGAAACTAGCATGGCGCGTAAGAAATTCCTATCAAAGGGATTTTAAATGACACATTCTTTTCTACAAAGTCTTTTCAATAGCTTATATAATTTATAATATAATTCTAATAAATAATTTAATAATTATTAATATAATATATATAATATTACTAATTCAATTTATTTTAATAATTTAGTATTTTTAATAGACGTATACACGTACTCTTGTACGCTGCGGTATGGAAGTCATTATTCGTGGTTGCAAAGGGTTTTTGATATAGTTAATGTAGAGGGAATCGACATTATCGATTGTCGTTCCTATATATCGTTGTTGGATCGCGTCCAAAACTACTGATGGCCGACGAAATTATGTGTATATTTATGACAGAGACATGGGACATACCGGAAATAATATTTTAGTACTAAAAATTTTGTGTTTTTAATTCAATGGATGCTTTTGCAAGCGGTCTCAGTGATTTTTACATGATAATGAGGACTAAAAGCAAAATTCTATAAGATATATATATATATTATTATAATATATATTTGTAAATAGTCCGTGAGTGAAAATAGTTTTTTTTATTTATTAATCTTATACATAACCTAAAAAATTTATAGGAATTTTTGAATTGTCCTTTAAAGATGACATGAAGATGATGTAACCACAAAAAAGGTTTTTTTTTATAAATATTCTCTTCTTTGTTCTCTTCATAAGTTGACTAGGTATACAATACATGTAAACTAACCATATCAAGGAATACAGGATATAAAAACGATCAGCTTTAATATCGTAAATATGCAATATGTACGTAGATGTTATTATAAATGTTTACAAAACAGAATTTGATCGTCGATTCTTATCAAAGGAATAAATTTAAAGGAAATCGCAGTTTATCGTAAATACTATGAGAAATGGTGGCTGTTTAAAGCTCTTGAAAGTCGCGAGACAACCGTACGGACTGTATAATTAAGGCAAATGGCTCATCAAGTTGGGCAATGTAAGGCGGATGCGGCGAATTCCTTTATGAAATTACTCTGTTACATATTGCCATCATTTCTGACAGAACAACTGTTTGCAGAAATAATATTTTCGTATAATTTAATTTGTTCCTTCATTAAACTTGACCCGAAACAGTTTGAATTTTAGCGCCTCTATTGAACATCGTATAACTGATATACTACACTAGTCAGTGCAAGTGAAAAATTGCCCATTCGAATACTTTTACCGACGTGTTATCGAGTTTTCAGGAGCTATATATATTATTGCATTTCAATTTAGCATTTTCTTTAAAATTTAGAAGTGAATTTTTATTAAAGACGTATTACTCACTGAGTACGTAGTATGTACATTCATATTTGAATTTGGATCTTAATAATTTTCTCCCAATTACGTTGCCTTGACAACTCTCGCACTGAGCATGCGCAACATGAGTACGTTTGTACCCGCCTAAAGAGCTTGGAACGCGGGAACGGTAAAGACGCCATATACCGACGAAGAAAAATGTTACAAGATTTCGCTGCATTGGGGTGTACACAACCGATATCAAGTTTCTTTATTTTGTGTGCACACGTAATTGCCACTTGAATGTCGGTAACATCGATGGCTAAACTCGATCAAAAAAGAATTATAACTTTAGTCAAATCACATTACCGAGTAAGTCAGTACTGAATTCCTTATGTTTCCAAAGCGTTATATTCTTAACCTGTACTATATACCGTTTTATAACATACTTCTGAATTTCATTACAGTTCCCATGATCCAACAATTTTAAAAAAATTTCTCGATGGAATTTTGTTAATAACGGTATGATTATCATTATCAGACATTATTCTCCGTGATAAACAGACTAATTTCTATCATTATTATCGTAATATACGGGGGAACATGTACACAAGCGTTGCAAATAACAACACGTTTATCTTGTTAGCCGGATCTCACACCCGGCGTACATTATTACACGTCGTTGCGTGTGTACTGCGTTAACGAATTATATGCTGCGTTTTGAATCTCAATCGGCGAGTTCTTGCGGCGCATCACGTCCCACACCTGTGTTCTTTTTTCTCTTTCTCCGGAGAAGACACCATGCGCGATCTTATCTGCTGTTTAACACAGTGCTTCGTTTCTTCCTTTTAATTTCGTCCCTCGTCTAGGTGACGCGGAAACTTCCGTTTACAAACTGACTCCTTGAAATATCTTCGGAAAATTCCTTCCATCCCTCACAAAGAGAAAGTATTCGTAACTTTCGTCCCTTATTCGTGTGGAAGTGGGGTTCAGTATTAAAATACCTTGCCCCATGAAGGTCTCTACAATTTTTACTTTGCTCTCATCGAGATAAAGTAAAATTATCTTTCTGTGCAGAAACGTTTGCAATTTTTACTACATTTTTCTCTTCGTTTTTCCTTTTTTTTACCTATATGAAACTTAAGTTGTGAGTTAAAATTCTTATTTGTCTCGTTTATATTCCAGGCAGAAACGTCGTAGAAAAGAGACTACAAAATTATTGTAACGACCCGATCCTCTTGTTTGCAAAGAATGTCCGACACATTATTCAGGTACAGGAGTCTAATGATACATTCCTCGCTGGAAGTCGTGTAGATCATTTGCGAAGATCAAAGAACGACACATACACCCGGTTGCACGCGTTGTTGAATTTCTCTGAAGGGATCGAATGTGTCATCGATCGACGGCTTTTTCCTGCCATTACGCTCTGTCGCGTTTTCTTTCTCGAAACACGCGAATGGATGTTCGTGTATAAACACGTAAAAAAATGATTCCTGATGAAAGCGAATATGGAAAGCAAGTATGTTCCTTAAATGCTGGGTAGTGAGATTATGTTTATAGCATATATTACAATAGGATCATATGTTTAAAATTTAATATGCTCTCACGATAAACATACTGTAATTCAATGGCGTGTGCGAAATATAGAAGTCCGTGGAGTAGTAGAAATTTGAGGTTAGGATAGGGTGGCGTCAGCTCGCGTTTATTCCCAATTTAGGGCAATAAAATGGTTCAGTTATTCTTGTCTTTTATATGATCATATACAGGATAGACTTTTATCTTTTTATAATAATTTATGCCGAGTAAATTTCATTGGCTCGTTCTTTCAGAAGTGGTCTTCCTTTTTGTGGGTATTATTTCTTAGACGCAACATGTTTTATAGTTATTTCTTTTACTAACTGCAATCTGTCTCTTAATCAATTTGAATATGAATACATTTAAATAAAAAATTAAGGAAGGGCAGTAGTAAAAATTTATCAAGGGATGAGTAACCATTCTTTCAATAATTTGTATAATATAATTAAGTATTATACAATTTTATCACATTCATCGTGTGCTTATTAAATTCGCAAAAAAGTTACTAAAATATGTAGAAAAAAATAATTGTGAAAATGCAGTTGCTTATCCCTATGATAAAGTTAAAAAAAAAAAAGAAACAATTTTATATGTTAGCACTAGAAATTGGCAATAATGGTTGATGCCATGGTTTTTGCAGAAAAATCGAAAGAACGATGAAAAAGAGGCGCATTAATTAGCCGATAATCAGAACGATGCATCATGGCTTCGTCTTTAGGGGGACCAGGAATGGTGTCGGGTGTTCCGACACCGCGACGAGTCAACCTGGAGTTTCCACCACCTCCACCTTATCCACCGCCTCACAGTCAGGTATAATTTGCGCCATACAATGCTAAATCGTGCACAGCTTATGTCAAGTACACGTAATTTCGAAATGATAGTGGAATTAGTCTAGCTATTGCTTTGAATCGGAACTGCAGTATTTATACGTAATTAATATTAAATGTTCTACGTACACCAATGAAGAAACTCAAGGATGCTTTGTAATTACCCTTACGAGTTGTACAATGCAAGGATGTAATAATCACATCTAGACCTCTAATTACATATATCGTTAGAAACAATTCTAAATGCCTGCAATATCAAGATGCTCGCAGTAACAAGAATATTACTCATTGTTTTATTAATATTCAAACCATGATCATCACTTAATTCAATATACCACTTTGCGTTATCTATTGCATACGTATCTACAAATTACAGAGTCGTATACAGTCACTCACAAAAGTATTCGAATGCTCCTAAACATTTAGCCCATGAAATACACGCGTGTAAAAACTTGGGAAATAATATTGCAAATGTTACTTAAGATCAGATGGATAATGTGCTACGGAAATTATGAAGAGATAAAGCGACAGGTGAACATTAAATGTGAATTATTTAATTATTTAGATTTCTTATTTGTTGTCGGATTTGTTATCATTCTACTTTCACAGTCTCAATGCTTATATTTTGTTTCAGATGCAATATTATTTTTTAGTTGAATTTCAAGATTAACCTACGTGCTTCATTCGTTAAAATATGGGGCACCAGCTTTCGGATACTTTTATGAGTGACTGTACTGATATACCAACACGATCACGTCGCAATGATTTCTAATATATTAATTTCACTTTCTTTCAATGTACTCGTTTTATAAATTATTATATCTTAAATGATTAACCCATTGCGGATGTATGTCGAATTACAAACAGCCAGTTATAGTCTTCCGGTATCAGAAGCATGCTTCCTTGTAACGACAGGCAAATTTTGTTCGCGTAAATTAATATTCATAGTTTTTAGAACGTAATCTTCCTCTACTTGTCGTTTTTCCTTGTACTTTAAAACGTGAAAAATATTTTCTCATTCGCAGCAATAAAAGTTACAATGATAAAAAGATATCGGTAGTATTTTTCACTGAAAGTTATGTTCGTCAGAAACCATAATTGATATCGCAACTTCTTTAGATAGCCTGTACGGGATTGGTGGATCCTGGACCGGTGGCGTCCGCTATGACGAACCCAGCTCACCAGCATCCCCTTCAGGATTATTCGTACGCTTACTTCGAACCTGGCCCGAGTCGGTTGCATGGTACATATCCGGCGGAAGTGGGCCTGAATCGTATGCAGCAGCAGCAACAGCAACAATTGCGGCCGGAGTCGTTCAAGAGGCACACGTACATGACACGATATGGCACAGAGGAGAATATTTACGAGGAAATATCGGAAATCAAGTGAGGAATTCATTGTGAAAGATAATCATTCGAAAATAGTATACGTACGTTTCGAATTGAAATTTATCTCGAGTATGGAAAGAATCGAAGTTGATTTCAGCCTTGGTAGTTTCAAGAAGAATATTTTTTACAAGTTTCCCATTCACTGAGAACCTCAGTAGCACACGAGAATGCAAGAGAAAAGTAATTGGAAGTAAAAGAGAGATAAAATTTGTAATAACAGCAAGCATAGATAAGTATCGAATTATGCTAGAGATTTAATTAAAGGTCAACACTTTCTCGAAGTTAGTTTTGTAGTTGTTCCTTCGTAAAGATTTATCGAAATATTTTAGGTAGTTTACATGAAAATTGTATTAAAATTGCGTTAGCGATTCTGCATAGAAGATTCTAAATTAAATGTGAAATTCTTAAAATTTTACTTCATCAGAGTTCGAGAATTTCCGTATTTTCATGAAACTCCACAAGATCCTTAGCGCGAATTTTCAATAAAGATCCGTTAAATATATGGTTGTAAGTTCGCATAAAAATTCCCAAGTTGAACGTAGAATCTTTAAAGCTTGTTTCATTGAACTTACAATTTCTTTCATTCGTGAAGATCTATTTGTGATAAAAAATTCTTAGGGCGCATTTCCAATAAACGTGCCACAGGCGTAACATAATAATACGGTAAAGTAAATCTCGAGATTCCTCGTTCAGATTGCTAAGATGGAACTCATTGAACTTGGTCGATTTTTCGCTTGCTTTTCACTTCCTTCCATTCTACCCTTATGCGATGGATATTATTCCAGGGCAGGAAGACGGTGTTAGCTTTCAAGGGAAGCAGAGTACGCGGGCTTCTTATGGTCGATAGGAACGCAGATGATGATAGCGCGGTAGAATTACGTTTCATTCAATCTAAGCGGTTGACGAATACGCACGTTCATTCGCCCGACGCGAAGTGAACTTCAACTGATGCGAGTTGAACACGAGGTTCAAGTGGACAACGAGTCAGCCCATTTAGCCTGGTTTGACGTATCTTTGCACCGGATGCTATGAAACTTAACAATTAAGTCGCAAACAATAAGAAAGCAAATCGAGTAGATCGTTGCGTCCGTGCAGTAGTGGGGACATAAGTCATGCATCGAGACAAGATGAATATTTATTAACATTGAATTTCATCTCAAAGTAAATTTCCGCATGTCTTGGAAATGATTTAGTGATTTTTTCCTTTGCTTCTAAATAGAATAATGATAGATAGAGTAGTTGGTCATTGTTTAAAATTTGTAGTCAGAAGGAAAGTTAATTTTGGTGTTTGTTAATTAGGAGAAGAATTATTCACAATAAGGAAAATTATTTAATGTTTAAAAGAATCCTATATAAGAATATAATTTTGTTTTGATTTCTCAGCCATGAAATGAAAGTAAACTGTGTAAATTATCTTTGTGAGAGGCTTCTTATAAATCAAATTTAAAATAACATTTGATATGTTAACTATTCAATTCCGCAATAAATGTGTTATATAATTTGTATATATTATTCACAACCTGCAATAATTAAGTAACTATGAATCACTGCTAAACAATTACCGCACAGCCAAATAGTTACTTATACAATTGCATATGTAAATGTAAGGGAGAAGCGTTTGTACATACTAATGAAGAACTGGAATTTATTAGCAGACAATGTCACCGAGGGTTGCATGGTTCGAGAAGATCCTTGGTGGCAGAGGAAGTACGACGAGTTCAATCACGACACCGTCGAGTCCTGGGAGAATTGAACTTGAGCGTAGAAGCGATGCTGATGCCCACCGTGATCGATAATAACGACGAGGAAGAGTCACAGGATCAACGTGGAGCGTCCACAGAGGAATTGTTATCCTCGGTCAGTCCCACCGACGACCTCCTTTCGCCAGTTGGCTGTGACATGGACAGCGGCTTCAGTGGAAGCTCCAGTGCAAGTTACAGGTTGATAGAGACACATTATAGTAACGTATACCGAATGTGGGTGGACAATTTTGTGGAGTACTGTGTGCAAATTTTTACATAACTTAGACATGATCTTTCTCGTTGTTTATATATTTACTCGAGCATGTTTGAAGAAAATTGTCCAAGTCGTTTTTAGATTCTTCTATAGGCATTCGATAAACATTATGAAATATTCAAAAGTAAAAGACACATTTCAGGTGTCAATTCAATTGTTATGCGAAAACTGAGGTTTTGCAGAAAATTCTTTTTATATTAATGAAAGGCTATACAGAATATATGAGATTAAAATAAGTATGAAACCATTTGATATCTTGCAAACTATCGAGTATGAAATATTTTTCTATTAATCATTTTGACATTAGACAATTTTTTTTAAATGTTCTCACAAGCAGCACTGTGATAAATTGTTGTAAATCCACTACACAATATAGAATTTCCTTTCGTGTGCTATATTTAAAAAGTATACAAAAAGCACTGTAATCATCAAAAAAAGAAATGAAGGTTCCAGGAACTCTTTTATGCACACCTCGTACAACTCCATTTCTAAGTAACCCCAAAACCAACGAACCTAAAGAAAAAAACAGAAAAAAGAAAAAGAGACCTAAAATTATCGATTGTTGTTTGTTCAGGTCTGGACTGGGATCGTTGAGGAGGGAAATGGGCAAGACTAGCACTCCAGAATTAGCGGGCGGGCAGCGTAAAACGAAGGCGGCTATGATCTGGAAAAAGGGTTGGAAAGGCTGGAAGAAACTGCATTCTTTTGGAAACAATAGCAACAAGACTGGTGAGTCATTCGTATCATTTGCTGCTCGCTTTTATACTGCGCATTTCAAACTATAGCAAACTGCACGTTTAACCATTATCATAAAAATCTCATGAATTATTATTACAAGCTACGTAGCCACTATGTACATTTTTATATACTTCCATAATATAACAGAAATAATTCAGTATACCTCTTTTCCGTTTGGAATAAATATATTAAATAGAAATATTTGGGGAAAATTATAACGAGTGATCAGAGTAGTAGATAATGATTTTAAGCCCATTCGATTTTACTTTTTATTTCCCATTGGTATCTCGAGTATAATAAATCTCCAGTATGACAGCAGTGTAAACTATGGACAAGCTTCGATCACGAACTGCTTATTGTCAGGAATTAATTATACTCGTAGTCGTGGCTGCATTAAAAATTCTCGTTGCGCGACTCTCGACTATTGTGCTTCTGGAGTCCACATGAGTGAGAAATAGAGGTGTTTAACTAGAGAAATGTCCAGAAGTGCCACTCCTTTCCTACAAATGCTTCGAAAAGTATACGAAGGGATTCATTTGTATGTGATCAACGTTAGATACTTTGAATAAGAATTACTAGAATACGTTTGGAAATCAGTTTAACTGGATATAAATATTCAAACAGCCATTTCTAGTATTATTACCACATTAAGTATATTCATTCTCATTTCGTCATTATTCTTCTCATTTCTTTTATATATTCCAGCCCTAAAAACAAATTAAATGATAAATGAAATGAAACGTTATTTATAATTGAAATTTTCTGTTTATTGCGCTTTAAAATATATCTAAAATGAATAACAGAGTTGGATTATACAGTGTGAAATAAAAGTATGGCCACTAGTAAATATAAGCTTAACAAGTAACATCTTTACGCTCTGAGAACTTCTACTAAAATTAATAGCGCAAATAAACCGCAGACAGTTAACAAATCTTTACAAATTACTAACCATATTAATTGATCTCCACAATGTTCTCATTGATCCGCAAAACACTTATGCATACACGTGACAAGAATGTGTGTATATATATTTCATGGAAATACTAAGGTTAAAAGTATTCGAAGTCATCAGTGTTTATACGTCGATATATACAATATTACGCCTGAGTAGTATAAGCTACAAAATTATGTATTATTTCAAGGTACGATATATTGCTTACTTGGCGCCAAAAATAAATAGATCGCTAGTAAAAGTACACAAATTGATGTCAATACAACAAAATCCTGCCGAGACAACAAATCTCTGGAAAAGTAATAAAGTAATTTGCTTGGAAGCGAGCAACTAATTATTTCGAACGCCATACATCGTTGATGGAATATACCACAAAACATAACCGCAATCTTGATCAATCTCCTCGGCGAACATGGCTGGCCGTGTTCGAAGGCCCATGGAGCACCTTTTATGCGTTCGTTTCACGGCCCTTTGTCGCGCATAACTGCACAAGTATGTGCAGGCCTTTCTTTCATGGGAACGCTGCCCTCTCTCGGACTATGACGCAAGCGTTTGGCCCCGTGCGCGTTCGTGTGCATTTGGCGCACGAACCAAGTTAATTATTGGTACTTGGAAGGGGTCAGCCATGGGGTCACTCGGTGGAGAAGCAGATGCGAGACCACGTGCACGCCCAACTCATTTTTTCTATCTTTCTTTCTCTCATACCCTCCCCGCTGAGATCTCTCTTCTCTGCTTTGCATCATCTCTGCCTCTATTCTTTCTCTTTCTCTCCCTACGCATTCGAATGAGAGTTTCACTCCAACGTTGCGCTTGCATCTCTGAACGTTCGTCGACTCGGTCGGTATCGCGTGTTTGCGATTTCCTGGAGACGAATCGATGCTTCTTTATGTAGAATACTAGAAGAAGGTTAGGTTCGAACAAAAATAGTGTAATATAATGTTATGAAGCAATTTAGCTTCGCTGATCCTGTTTGCTTGAAAAGAAGTGAATTTGGATGAAGCCTAGAAGTATATCTAGATTGTAAAAGATTTTATTATTGTTAATAAGGTAATTGTTTACGTATGTCATTATAACGTGTTCTCGTGTCGTATACTGATATTACTACATTATTATTAAACAAGCTAAAAACATAAGTTACACAGAATAGTGTTATATAGTTACATAGAAACGATTATAACAATATTTGTTACTTATTATTGTCAAGTTTTCTGTATTATTTCAATTATTGTGTCAGATTTGTTTGTTGTATTATATAATTTATAATGCAACAGTATCAAAACTGTGAACTTATTTCGATATTAATTCGTATTATCATTTATTTATTTACATCCATGCTTTGTTTATTTTCATTTTCTGTTTGTTTATTTACATTGAAATTTTGTTCACATTTATGTATTTACATTTTTGTTTGATTGCTTTCTTGGGTTTTTTTTCATCTATATTATGGATTTATTTTTCACTCAATTTCTCTGAAATATTAAAAAATTTCAAAAGATATTTTTATTCCTTTTATGAAGTAGTTGCTGTGTTAAAAGCTTATATTTTCTACACAACAGTGGGTTCTGTGGATAGACTACTGTGATTGTAAACAAAGAATCGTGTGCATAGGGACAGATGTTCAGAAAAGAGCAGTCTCTTAGACACTCGACCATATGGTTCTGGGGTCCCGTCGTGATTCTCAAACGGCCCAGGCCTACCCTAATCTCTAGACAGAACCTCGAAGACACTCGTTCCATTTGAAACAATACAAGCTTTGTGATGACCACCGGATGTTACGAGTTTTCTCGGAATTTCAAGGTAAAGTCGACGAACTCCATAATTGCCAGGGCACGCTATGCATTTAGACTCAATGCGTGAGACTATAACCTCTCTTTTTCCATCAATTTCCTAGTCCTGATAAAATGACCCAAAAAAAAGGATCCAAGAACCTAAGAAGCACATCATGTGAAACGAAGAAACCTTACTAACAAAGGTACACCCAAATCACCCAAGGTAATAAATATAATTATAGTTAAACAAAAAAAAAATGGAAGACACTGTATGGGAATTAACAAAGTAATTTTGTAATTTTATTTTTTATTTAGCATGAAATAAAATCAGAATTGAAGATTATGAGATATCAGATGGAATCACAATTAAAATTAGATGAAACATCAGGCCTTAGGTTCAATTGTAAATGGAAGACATTTTGCCGCGGTCACGATTGAACACGCGCTCAGCAAAACATGTGAGATTACTGACGAAAGAAACAAGCTTCTTTAAGTGCAACAATCTATCCGTTCCGCAATAGCAATGGCAGTTATGTTACTGAAAGGGATATGAAACCTTTTGGCGGGAAGGATGGTATGCGAAAAGCTATCGAAAGAAGGCGAAACGCGTTAAGAACGAAGAGAAAGGCGTCAGACGAGGCTTGCCGCTGTTATCCAGATACTCTATAGGTATTCGTTTCGACAGCGTGTAATATTCGTATCGTAATCGATCTCTAACCCTCAATACACTCGTGTTTCTTTCATACTCACTCTGCGATCAATCGATTTTGTCCTTTTTTCCTTGATTTACTGTCGTTTCTTCTTTTTCCTGTTTTATTTCACTGCTACAACGCAGCGAGTGCAATTGTGATTATAATAATCGTGATTTAAGTAGTTTAACGCTTCAGTCGTATTTCTTGGTGGTCAGATAATGTTATTTATTAATGTAAAAGTATTTTATAGAAGTATACGCGTTTTTCTATAAATCTTTAGCTTTGTAACTTTTAGATCTTTTATTTAATTCTAGTACACTAGTACCTTAATACCCTAGTACAACAGAGAGTTCAAGGTAAAGAATTTTTTAAATATCCTATTAAATCTATATTCTATTTCTACTTGATTCACTAAATCAGCAATATATGTTACACTATATTTTACAAATCTTACACGTACAATGAGTTACAAAAATATTCATTCTTTGGTCACTATTAGCTCAACAATATTCTCTAAAAGAAAATTCTTCCCATCACATCAGTTACTTCCCAAAAACGTGGACATTATATCCTTCATACATTCAATTATTTAAAACCAACAGCTTACAAGCTACAAGTCTTTCTTTACTATACATGTACAAAACTTCCAAAAGAAAATTCTTTTAGGAATCAAAAACATTTTCATTCAATTGAAAGATTTTCGATGGTCCTCCCATTATTCACCCACGTCGTCTCATAAAAGTAAAGGCTGTAAATACAAAGTTAGGTAGAAAACCATCATCTACATAATCTTATCGCATCATTAATCACTCGGTTACATAATTTCTAAAAAGTGATCAGACGCAGTTCCATTCCCTCTCCCTCCCTTGTTCTATATCCTCCGCAATGTCACAGCTTGTTGGCGATGCTTTCTACAGCGTGCATCACTCGCACCATGATAGATCTATTCTCCTCGTCCCGTCTTTTGATGTACTCGAAGATCTGCTCGATACGCCGATCGGTCTGTGTCTCGTGATCATCGCGATACGGTATTAGCAGACTTCTCTGCGACTTTCTCGGCCTTTCCTCATCCTCGTTACGCGCCGCCCGTTCTTTGTCCCGGTTCGACGCGACGTCGCTTGCACGTAGTCGGAATAAATCCTTGGAGCAGTCCGCCTCTGACGTCACTTTCTCAATCGTCAACTCTGTGGCACGTGGTAACTGCGACATAAGGGCATTCTTCGTATACCGTTTCCTCCTCGCAGAATTTCTGACCATTTGTCTGAAAATCCATGAAAATTCTAATTTCTTTCCAATTACGTCAATGGAATAAGTAGGTATAGTGAGAACGTAATAATTATTTCTTGGAAAAAAGAATCTTAAAGAATACTAGAAGATACTAGATTCTCTTTAGTTAAAGAATCTAGGTCTCGTATTATAATAATTCTGATTCGATAAATTATTTTAAACTTCAATGATGAGAATATAAGATTTGTATAAGTACATTGCGATATTCAAAATTGATGTACAATTTGTAACTTCGATAGGGAATTAAATAGCTGGTATGAAACATAAATAATATTTGAATATCCTTAATTATGTATCAGAAATCTTACTTTCCACGATTACTTGTACCACTGTACTTGCTAACCCCCGATGGTCGTACTTTCTGAACTTCAATCGAACAATTAGCACTAAGAGCCCTTAACCTTTGTTCCGGAAACGAATCGTTGGTTCGATGCTCAATTTCCGGATCGGATTGCGCCGGAAGCGCGTTCACGGATGAGGTGGGCTCTTCCGGTGTCACGGAGACGCAAAGGAATTCATGGGGATCGATGTACTCGTCATTGATCGGCGTGGTCCCTCGATCGTATCCAAGAACTTCGTCGATCGCATTGTAAAACGGCCACGAGACATCGTTCGCTTTGTTTCTATCTCCGTGTACCGGGTTCTTCAGCTCCTTCAACAGATTATCGTATCGAATGCATAACAGGGTTACCTAGTTAGTTAGGCAGGGTGTCGTGTCACGCTTAGTACATATCGATTCGTCTTCTAGATTTCCAAGAGATTCCTCGATATCTTCTACAAAAAGGAAACATTTCTAAATATATTTAAATCGTTAAGATTTATCGGGTCTAGGTTATAGTCAATTCAATGCATTCACTGTGAGAGTCGTAAACTTTCATTGAGGGAGACGATGAGAGATAAAAATAATTAGACTTCGCGACGCGAATTGCATCATTCGCATGTCGCTATAGTTACAATGGACGCGAATTGCGGCGTCTGCAGTAAACGTGTTGGGTTCAGTTTGCTTGTCCAGGGCCACTGATTCGAGCGACATCTAGGAACTGTTACTCCACTAAGCTACTCAAAGTTTTAGGGAGAGTATGAGATTATTGATGACACTGAAAGTGTTACGTGGAATTAGACACGAAAGTTAAGAAATATTATAGGTTAGAAATGAAAAATAGTCACTCGTCATAATTGAGATTATTTTACAACGAGCTTGTATAAACAATTTTGCATAAATTCTAATTAAGACACGCGTCTTCATTTACAACCATTAATTGAGAATGTTTCTTGTTCTTTTTATAATGTAAGTAAAATCCGTATTGTATTTGTATTATACTGTAAAATAAGGTCTTTATACAATATCTAGAAAAAAAAAAAAGGAACTACAGAAAGTATCTAGAGTTACCGACAGAAAGCTCGGTTAAAGTAAATGCCGGTGATACTATATTACAGAGAAGCGAGAAACCATCGTGTCGAATCTGCGAATTCGCGACGGTTTAACGCGATGTCATCGTGATTGGTCGTTTCTCTACTACGTGGCGCTTATCTCGCGGGAGAAAAACGGGTTTATTGTACTAGTTGCCGAAATGAAGACAAACGAGGGTAATGCAAATTAACTCATGCACGGGGATCAACGAGCGATCGTAGTTAACGAGCAATAAAAGACGTCTGTCTTGTCTCACTTTGTACTGTTGCAACAGGTTCGACCATTTCTTCTTCAGTACTCTGTAGTGCACGTTAGCCATTATAGTAGGAAATTCTTCTCGCATTTGTTGCAAAATATACCTAAAAATTGAAAAAACCAGTTAAGTAAATAAAAGACATTTTAGATAATGAATGACAATGAAACACGTTCAGCCTCTCTTTGTATTACGTATTTTAGCGATTCGCATTCTAAGAAATGAACAGTGAGGACACTATTCATGATATGGAATAAAATCAACCTATTGTTTTGCTCTTATCAAGAAGCGTACGCGTTTTGACTGATAACGAAGCAGATAAAAAAGAAATACTTAATAAATAGGGTGCATATGGTGGTACATAGGATGAAATGCAATATTCTTCTTCATTTCCGTTTCCGTTTCCGTTTTTGTAACACATTAAGACCTCGGTGTACATAGCCTCTACTCAACGAATGTTACATTTCGGTATACTAAAGAAATCGATTAATCAATAATCATAATAATCAATAATAAATAGTAATAAAATAAGAAGATTAAGATTAAACATAATTCCAAATTATTTTGATTAAATCCAATAATTTAAAATTAAGAAAAAGCTATTTTTTAACCTTTTTCATTGCAAAAACTTATTTCAAAAATAAGTAAGTTTTCGTATTTTTTAATATTATGTATTAAATTGAAGCTCAATTTTGAAGAAATCTGATCAAGTTAGCTAACACAGGTGTTTCAATTTTCTTCCATTTTTCGTCACAGCTGTTAATAATAGTGATTCACAACTTGATATTTCAGTCTTTCGTACTATTTTAGTAATCGTGTTTTCGGTTCCAACCACTTTCCTCGAGGACGTTATTTCAATATTTCTACTTATATTTTAATAACTCGTAGGAAAAAAAGGAAATAAAGTAAAATGTGATTGATAGTAAAACAAGACGGTGGCGAAGACGTTGTGACGCGTGAAAAGCGATTCGCTTCGTATCTTCTCACTCGAGGTCGATCACGAAAATGTTGCGATAGATAAACGATGCAAATGGCAGTTTTTGTTGATATTTTTGTACGTGCACGCAGGACACACATTCCCTCTTTCCTCTTACTCAGCCGATATTCTGTAAAACTCGCGAATGCATTTGATGCTTTGTATTGAAATTATTTCGGTATTCGGCAACGAAAAACCTGTGACGATCAATGCGATATACTCATTACATCGTGATCTGAAAACAATTGGAAATTTCGCTTCCTCTGAGCAAGTATCATTCTAATTTTATATTAGTGCAAAATACGTAATTGCATGAATTATGACAGTACCTTAATAAAATGCTTTTCTTAATAATGAGGGGTTTCCTATTCTGCAGTGTTTTGATAATGCATTAATTTATTCCTGTAATTAAATTCAACATAAAAACACCAATAAAAGTCGTGTTGCTTCTGTTAAAAGTTTTTAACACGTCTAAAAAAAAGAAAAATATCAAAAATTTTGGTCTGGAAATAATTTGAAAACCGTACTGTAATTGATATACACAGAAAGAAAACGAAAGATAAATTTATAGGTTATATTGTAAATATTACACTTACTCCCATCCAGCTTGAGCTGAATATTTGCGACCAGTAAAGAGCTTTCCATTTTCCTTCCGAAGCTGAATAAACCGACAGGTGAGATTCTCGGTCCCTGAGAACATTCGTAAAATAGAGGGGGACCCTTGCGACTACCTGCGTGACTCGATTATTATTACCGTAGTCGATTCTTATTAGACACATATATCGCCGAAGGAATGTCATGTCTGGAATAATGGAGTAGACAAATACCGGTTACCGCGGTGAAAAAGAGGAAGGAATAGTAAAAGAATGAGATAATGGAAGAAATAACAATTCGAATGTGCGCTATTTAATAATACGGGAACATGTGGATAGACACACACGAGCACGCATTTGTGTTTCTCCGAATCGTATGTGTGCATCGGAATAAACCCGTTGGTGATTATAGAAAGGAAACTAACGATTTGGTTACATGACCAATGAAATGTCGTAACATGGATAATCGTATTATTGTAGAGGTAAAATCTAAAAGTAAAATAAAAACAGAGGGTTATGAGAAAGAACGAATGGTAATGCGTAACTACGGGAATTGGCTGCGCGCACAACCAAAAACGCGCGTAAATTTTCGGCGAGTGCAGTCAATGCGTCATAACCAGAATGCTCTGCGTACAAAGTGTGTATAATAAATTATAATATCGGTGAAAGACACTACGTAACAGTGATAGTCACAATAATTTGATAATTCAGATTACAAGTGGTAATTTGAATCAAGCGAAGGAAGATAAAAACGTTTGAAGCAACGCAAGAAACATCGTAGTAATGATGATGCAAGAGAAACTCGACTACATGTCGTACTTGCGTATCACGATATATTTACGTTGCAAAATGGATCACGACAGCTGACGTATGCGTATACGCGGGACGAATGAAAACGGGAAAGAAGAAATACCTCGATACAATGGAACATCAGTTGTTTCGCGTATTCGAATCACAATAGATATCGACAATGGTAGTAAACAATGTCATTCCAGATACGAAAGAAAAATTCTAGTACACGTGGTTTTCGGAAGGACCGAATAACGTTGACATATAAGCCAAAACTCACATCGAAATTTCGCGTGCTGAGAAACCTGCGTCATAACTGTTCGATACAAATCTATGGAGAATACGATCGGATGTGTGAAAACTTCTCATAGTCGGAGATTCTGATGCGTACTAAAATCTAGACCTGGTTTTAGTCTTCACCGATGAACTAGAGGGGAGTATACGTAAAACACATGCCACTACCGCCGTGGTGGAAGCTGCAAACATAGATTTGGTGGGGGCACACGAAGCGAAGACGGTATATGCGCGAGTTGGTACATGAACAAGGCATATAACCGGCCGCTCTTTGACTGCATGCCAGGCAAGAAAGGAAAACAAACTGCGTCGCCATCTCCCATTAGAGCTACACAACAGCTCTTTTTCCTTTTGCTCGGCCAACTGTGCCATGCCCTCCTGATTCACTGTGTTATCGACGACAAATCATTTTTTACGAATATTGATCCTATGATCGATTGTTAACAAAAATGTAGTTTGGTGAGTAAAATGTGCCTGAGTAGAACGTTGTTTTTCGTTTTATAAGATTTGTTAAGAACAATAAAGATTGTGTATAAATTTAAATATGGAAATATGGATGAAAATTTTTATTAAATACTTTTGTTCACTTTCATAGGAAAAGGCTTACTTGGAGTAAAAATTGGAAGACTTTGTATCAAAATGAACATCGGATATGATATTGCCAAGATCTAAATTGAAGAAAATTTCCATAAATACAATTAACTCCTAGCCTTGGCCATCTGCCTCGTTGGCAACACTCGTGTGGCATATTTTGAACTTGCCAGAAACTTTTATTCCTCTTAGATGACTTACTACAATCCTTTCATAATACGGTACGGTTTTCTTAGGGTGATATGATTTAGACATACTCTTCTAGATTATTTTTGATATTTTTAAGGAAAGAGCTGATTTATTTCTTGAAGTATTTATGGGCATACGTTTCGCATACGTAATAAACACATGGACTTCCAAAATAAATTATATTTCACCTACAACAGTACTGCTTATGTGTGAACGTAATGCTTACTGTTATTGTGTTTATTTATTTATCAATAAATGTCAGTTTCAGTATAAAACAACATACATTGCTTCAAAAATATAATATACAGCTTCTTATGCAGTTATGCATAAATTGAATGAGCACTAACTTTTTGACACAGGATTGATGTGTTTAGTCTTGTGAAAATACCTAGAACCGAGGTCAATAAATCCGATAATGTCAGTATACATGCACACAATCAAAGATATACTGATACATAATCGCATTAGTATCGTATTTTTAAAACAAGTAATTCGATAGCAAAGATTTCGAAATATTTAGAATTCTTTAATGCAAATGGAAAAAAAATAGTTTACAAATGTTCTTTTTCACACTAAAATACATTTCGTTCAGTTTGCACAGCTTAAAATTTTTCCTAGAATTTTCCACCGAACTACTCTTTTTCAATACAAAAGCTGCCAGCTTTTCAGCGATAATAATACCAAAAGTCCAGCTGCCACAGGTTTTATTATTTAACAATAGCTCAGGTCAGAAAATCGTGCTTTTACCCTGGTTGCCCAGGAACACGAGTTCCGCGATTGAAAGTCAACCATTAGAGGTGGCGCCGCACGACGGCGTTTAGTCAAACTATCATAAAACGGCGTGGCGATCTCTGTTTCTCTTGCTCTATTCGATCATGCTTTCTTCGTTTCTCTCCCTTTTTTCTCCCTTCTTTCGTTGAGTATGTATAAAATGGCCTATTCTTTCATCCTACTTCTTTGTCCGATTCTTTTTCATCTTCGTCCGTTCACAAGATACTTGTCTGTCTCGTTCTTTCCAAGGAATCTATGTACTCTTTCACTCTCTCGAACTTTCTCTCTCGTTCGCAAGTTACAGCACCCTCTATTCTATTCTCTCTTTCAGAGCGTCTCTCTTTCAGTCAAGCCGCCGCAGTCTCGATCACTCTCTCTCCTTCTCTCGCATGCTTAGTCTTTCTATCTTTCCTCTGTGCCCTTCGTTTCCATGCAACCTCCCTCAGTGCGTGACGGGTCCGCGGGCCACGGAGAGCCAGAGAGGCGCGCGCGCGGCCATGTTTACTCAGTTTTGGTGGCGTTTCTTTGTCGGACACGACACATTCTTATCGGTGCACACCGCGATATTAATTATGCCCGCGGCCGGCCGCGTGACCACGTGTGTGCCGTGATTTTTAGCCATCTGTGTTCCCTGTGCTGGAGAAGTGTCGTTCCACGGGTCTCTTGATTGACGCCGAGAGCGTGCGCGTATGTTGGTTTCTTTAGCTCGATCACGAGCACGTTGTGGAGACGAAAGAAACGACCAGCAGTCGGTGCACAATAACGAACAATTTAACCTGGAGGACAAAACGCGAGGATCGCTCGCCTCCGCGAGATGGAGGAGCTGCATAACGGCGTCATCCTGATCAAGTGTAAGTTTCGTTTTCGTGAGTATTTGTCAAAATCATTCGTTAAGTTTCCTCTTTTACGAATGTGGTTTTATGTGTCGCATGATAGTTCAGTGACGGCGTTCAACTAGAAACAGAACGTTCACCCCTCTATCAGTAACGTATTGAAATTCCTGAATCATTGTTTGATTAATATACGACGCTTTAACCTATCCGTTAGTAATTTATAATTTCGAAACCTATTTGAGAAATGTACAGCATAAAATGTTTTTAAAAGCCATCAAAAGAGTTATAGTTAACGATGAGATTTGCATAAATAATTTGTTTTAAGGATATTTACTGGAACACAGTCTAAAATATAAAACTGACTTCGTGTGACCGATTCTATTGCGACACGGTCGATTATTGTTCCGGTAATTGCCATCGGCACGGTTGCATGGAAATGGATGAAACGCCCGTATCGTGCAGCGTCAGCTTCAGGACAGTGCCCGTTCCGCGTTCTTGGTGCATCGTCCATATGTCTCTCTCTTTCCTTCTGCCAAATCCTTCCGCGAATCGTTTTACGTCACTCATCACTATAAAATACGTTTAAGCTTATGAGTAATATAATTCCGTTTATGAATCATATTGAAATACTCAATGGTGCATTTCCTAGTACCATAATGATAAAAGTACTTAACCTTTTAATTAATATTTTGTAAATAATTCAATGGGTCATCATTTATTCTGTCAAAATTCATGAATTTCTATTAATTTTTATGTTCAGCTATCCTTTGTTTCGAAATATTTTCTAAAAAAATTTATTTTGCACATAGGCATGGAACAAGCAATATAACCCTACTTTTGTAAACCTTCGACCGACTTAGGTTATGAAGCTGATAAACGTGACCTCACAGATTATGTCATTGTATATGTATGTATTTGGAAGTCATGTGTTTTATTATATCAAGAAATAAACCGTATGTTTTTACCACAAGATCGAGGTGCATTTGTCGTAATCGGCACGCCTCGAATGGTTCGATTCAGCAGCTTCGTGTTGGTGCTCGCGCGACACCTGTGAGATATCGATTTAAAATTCTAATTCGTCTCAATTCGAGATTGGGACGCTTGAGCAACCCATTTAGGACACCTCTGCATGGTTAGTTAACATGGTAATTTATGCCGAGTGATGTATAGCCTTATAAACTAGCGGTCGAGCAAGTATCGAATATCTACTAGATCATAGGACCTGTTATTCGCGCGTGGGCGTGCTTTCTCTTGTAAAAGTGCAGATTGAAATGTCATACCGGCCGTCGGTATTTCGCTGGTTATTAAAAATGTACCGTTGTATTCGATCCGCTTTTAGTATTGTGCACGTAGATGTACCAGTTGAGATAGTGAAAGGGAACAAATAGGTACTAATTTGTACTTTTCGAAAGCGACGTGGATAATTGTACGTCAAATAACGTCTGATTGAATATTCATAGGCACAAGCAAAACACATCTTATTTCCATTTTCTGTGGCGGAATCATGTGTGCGCGCGTTTCGACATGTTCAAGCTTTGACCACGTGGTTATGCTCGTGTGTCCCTCTTGTGTTTGTTACTCGCAATAAATGTTAATTCGAATATTTGATAACCTAAAATAAGATTTATTATGTAAGTGCAGCTTAGCTTTCTGCATACGCATAAAATAATACCTTCACTGGTCATGATCCGAATCAGTTCCAATATTCGAACAATTGAAAATCCATGTTTCGTAACATTGCAATAGCCCGTGTAATCTAGTTGCACAGGAAGTAATATAAAGCTTCTTCTATAGCATATGTTGGTCATCGCGAAAGGGAATGAAAAAAGATGAAAAAAGTAAAAAATGGGACACTGACCGTGACAAGCATTGCATGTCTGTAACCGCAAAAGGCAATTCGTAGCGATAATAGCACAGCAATATACGTAATATGATCCAACCTGTGTTATTTCGCAGGACGCGAGTCACTTCACTTTTTCTAAAAACCTGTTTCGCTTTTCTTTTTCTCTCCCCCCTCCCCCCGTTTCGCCCCCCCCCTTCGCCCTCGCTCTCCCACAGATATATTATAAACTGAGTTCAATATCTATAAATATTTAATATTTATCTGCTCCAGTATTCTCGTAGATTCTTTCCGTTTCTTTTTTAATGTCACCACGAATTTTTTTGTTAACCTAATAGAAGAAAAAGGTTAGGTTACCCCGACATTTTTGTGTCTATGAAGGGTGACAAATTCAAACTTAATCGTTTTCGATCGGTAAGAAAGGACGGTGTTTGATCCGTTTTTTATTGATTGTTTCTAACGATGCATCTGGTTCGTTATATTATTCCTGTACAAATACCTTGCATTCATCGAAAATCGTAGATTCAGTTAGAATGAACTGGTTCGCACGACCCGCTGGGAAGACAATTGCCGCCTAATTTCAGTTATGTTTAAATGCGAACGGGTAAGGGGACAGGATAACCGGGTGCGTAGTCACAGTAAATTCGGCTCCCTGCTAGCGAAAAAGGAAGTATTCTCGTGCCGATGACTCCTCGAATCGTGGACTCTGTCGTCAGAAATAAAGTTAGTGGGGAGCACGTGTGTCACTGTAAAAAGCTGGCCTCTCCGTGAGCCACTCGGGCACACAAGCTACGTGCTTACAATGAGCATTCAAGTGGCGCGCTGTTGCCAGACTTACAGGTATAAGCCTACACTTTACTAGTTGCTTTTAACTAATTGACGCGTCCTAAAATTAATGCCCTTGCCGTATAAACGCAAAATGCCGTCACTTTTTCCACTGATCAGTTACTTATACATTTGACTTCTTTGATTATTTTTCACGCGAAGATAATTTATAGACAGGCGCGAATTTGAAATGATCAAAGTGTAAAGAAAATAATTGATCATTACTAACCGTGCATAATAACATCGGTCTCTGACAAAAGACGCGGGATCGATTAGGTACTACGGGCAAAACGTTTCGCAACGGAAATATGGAATATTTAATAGGCACGTTAGGGAATAAAATT